ACAACAAGGACTCGAAGCCAGGTAAGCACCAGTCAAGCTCTGCTAAATGCTAGGATGTTTTCCGTGTCTTTTGTTCCACATCTCAAGGACTTGACCGCTCCATATTGTTGCCTCTCGTGAAAAATCATGGGTGTACTTGACAGTGCCGCTCCGGTCGGGCTTCGCGGTGGAGCATGTTGGTATATGTCCGTCGAGGAAGAAAGAAAACGAACGTTTACACACTTGTACGATGTGAGCCGGCATAGGGTTCATCATGCTACCGTGATTCTGATTACAGCATTGGGTGGGCCCTAGGGAGTCCCGGACAGCATGCCATATTTACTTGAAGGTCAATAGTCATGATTCCTTGGATAATAAGAGTCGTGATGCATGTACACAATGTCATGATGAAGCAGAAGCACTCTTCGTTTCATTTGTAATTGTAGAAAAGAAACGAAAGCGCCGGGGATGCAGAATTTCGTGCTCTTCTTTTTCTTGCCATCATAAATTTCATGATATCTCTGACAGATTTACATGTCCACATCGTGTGTGGTTGCGTGCGTGTGTGTGTATGTGTGCGTGTGTGTGGTGTGTGTGTGGTGTGTGTGTGTGTGTGTGTGTGTGTGTGTGTGTGTGTGTGTGTGTGTGTGTGTGCGTATGTGTGTGTGTGGGTGTGGGTGTGTTTGCGTGCGTATGTGCGTGTGTATATGTGTGTGTGTGTGTGTGTGTGTGTGTGTGTGTGTGTGTATGTGTGTGTGTGCACATGCGCGTGTGTATGTGTGTGTCTGTGGGTGTGCGTGTTTTGGCAGATGGTGTCGAAGTCGAGCCTAAGTTCACTCTAAACCTGAAGCGTTTTGGCCGTCGCTCGCGGCCTCTAAGCGTCGTCGTGCCAAACCAGTATGAGGACGACGATGAAGACGACATGTTCGGCAGCGCGACGCCCGACGCAGATTCTCCGACGGACCTGCGCTCGCCGACCCGTGGCAAGCGGCAGCACTACCTGGATGGATTTCCGCAAGATGACCTGCGAGAGCACCCACGAACTCCAACAGGTATATACAGCGACGTTGTACCTTTCTTAAGAGAGCATGTCTGAGAATACCAAAGTATGTGTGCAAGTGGATCTCTCCGATTTCGCTCAAAATTTGCAGGTAGGTTGCCTTTGGGGTGTGGATCGATTGGGCAAAGCCCTTGAAAAAGTTTCTGATGGGAACCTTGAAATTTGCATACCCCTCAAAAATTGCCGAAATATCACATTATTTATGGGTCTAGAAACGAGTCACACCACAGCGTATACGAACAAGCTATGAACAAAACTCCATCAAGCCAACATTGCCTCACCTTAGAAGAGTTCCTGGAGCAGTACCGCTTAGCCACGCCAGCATCCCAGAAGACGAGGTCCATCACCCCCTGACGCCACAAATGATCGTCTTGAAAATAACCAATTTACAAGCGCTGGCAAAACAGCCAGCTACGTCCTCAATTGGTCAGAACTATACACCGGCAGATAGTAGAACACCTCTTCTAGCGCTGAGGACATGTCCCCCATCTTCCTTTTGGGGTTTTCTTGAAATAAACTTTTTTGAATTTTTCCACTCGACCATGCTGAAATACGGCCAAAGTCATACCTGCGCAGGAAAGCTCGCTACTCCGCGACGTCTCCTCAGCAATTTCTACTCCAACACTACTCCCAAGGCCGCAGAACAAAGTGTAGTGTTGACTCGGACAAGGAAAAGCAGCGGTGATCACTTGTCACTCCAAACGACAAGCTTCTCCTTGCGCCACCAATAATTTTTTGTGCGACTGTTGATGCAAAAGTGACTGAAGGCCTGAGCGCAGTTTTTGAATTTTATTGCAAGATGCACGGTGAGATCGCGTGCTCTGTGACGTAGGATGACGCTTCCTGCATCACGATACGCGGCCATCGATCGCGAATGTGCCTGGAACGCTACTCGGAACAGACCATGATGGCAGAGGTAAGATGAGCTTCATTTCCTGCTTGAAATGCTGAGAACCCCCACTAACTGTCCTCGGAGTGTTGCAATTGCAGCAAGCCGTTGAAATATGCCCCGTACAGCATGGAGAGTTATTCGTCTTTCACACTTACCTCCTGCAATCCCGAACATAGTCCAACAGTAAAAGTCCCTTGTTTTCATGTCGATGCTCGACAAAAGCGGCTAGCTCGGTCCCTTTGTGTTGACTGGCACGTGAGCAGCACTGGCTGCACGCATTTGTCGCGTGAACTGCATGAGAGATTTCTTACGTCATAAAGAATGTGATTTCATCATCATTTCACTGGTCTTCGACCTACATGGTCAGGGAAAGTCCCGGTTCGTAGGCCTACAACACGCGTGTTCTTGAGCGCAGTAACAACACAAGTGTGATCACTTCCAGACCAACGGGCGTTCAAGGCGAGTAACAAGCGCACTTGACAAAGGTGACTCTGAAATCTCGAGAGCCGTGGGCCACGCGACTTGGCATTCCTGCGTCACAAGGCACGTGATTTCACCGTGCATCTTGCAATCAAATTCAAAAACTGCCCTCAGGCCTTCAGTCACTTTTGCATCAACAGTCGCACAAAAAATTATTGGTGGCGCAAGGAGAAGCTTGTCGTTTGGAGTGACAAGTGATCACCGCTGCTTTTCCTTGTCAGAGTCAACACTACACTTTGTTCTGCGGCCTTGGGAGTAGTGTTGGAGTAGAAATTGCTGAGGAGACGTCGCGGAGGGGCGAGCTTTCCTGCGCAGGTATGACTTTGGCCGTATTTCAGCATGGTCGAGTGGAAAAATTCAAAAAAGTTTATTTCAAGAAAATCCCAAAAGGAAGATGGGGGACATGTCCTCAGCGCTAGAAGAGGTGTTCTACTATCTGCCGGTGAATAGTTCTGGCCAATTGAGGACGTAGCTGGCTGTTTTGCCAGTGCTTGTAAATTGGCTATTTTCAAGACGATCATTTGTGGCGTCAGGGGGTGATGGACCTCGTCTTCTGGGATGCTGGCGTGGCTAAGCGGTACTGCTCCAGGAACTCTTCTAAGGTGAGGCAATGTTGGCTTGATGGAGTTTTGTTCATAGCTTGTTCGTATACGCTGTGGCGTGACTCGTTTCTAGACCCATAAATAATGTGATATTTCGGCCATTTTTGAGGGGTATGCAAATTTCAAGGTTCCCTTCAGAAACTTTTTCAAGGGCTTTGCCCAATCGATCCACACCCCAAAGGCAACCTACCTGCAAATTTTGAGCGAAATCGGAGAGATCCACTTGCACACATACTTTGGTATTCTCAGACATGCTCTCTTAAAGGAGCACCATATGTAAGGCCTACAATTTTTGTGCTTGGTTGTTTTGTCTGTTTCTATCCACAAGGATTGGACTGTATTCGCAAAAAAAAGTAATTTCCTGGCGTTGGCAACATGCAATAACCGTCCACCGGGTTTTGCATTTGTGTTATTGCCGTTTGGGGAGTTAAAATTCCGTTCCCGGCCATGTGAGTCTTGTTGGTGCAGGGGCTGTCCGCCGCACTACGGTCACTGTGGCATTGGCTGCACCGCTTCACATCCCTGGTACCCGTAGTTTAATCATCTTCGGCTCCGAATTTCCAGGGATGGTCACAAAATGCCACCTTAGATAATGCCTGGACCTACCAGCCTGAAATGCCTTCTGATGCCCGTGCGTTTCTGCATGCTTACCGCAGGTACGCACGAGAATCTCCGGCACACGGTCATGGCCAAGCGTATCGGCCTGCACAGCATCGCCGAGGCACTGAACGAACACCACCAGTCCTACTCGCCAAGCGGACCGGAGTCGCGCAGCCCGCTGATGGCCAGCACGCCCACCACCGGGCGCAAGATGTTCCGCACCATGTCTCCGCTGACTCGGCAAACGGACGGGCAGGAGCTCTTTGAAACCGCGGGACCACTGTCTCCAGTTACAGGTAAGGCAAAGGGAAGCCAACCACTTGTACATGATTGTAGTTAGAGTGTTCTCTATGGCTATCCTGTTCTTTTCCTGTTATACCACAGTCCATTCATTGAAAACTGGCACCCTAATTTTTGGGTCTCTCTCTCACATAGTTGTAGATATCGTGAAAACAACAGTACATCCTGCATTGTGTGACCCGTGCAATTACTCCTTGCCACATTTGAGGCCAGAAAAGTCCAAGAACAGGGAAATAGAAATGCAGCCAGGTTTTACAAAATTAGGACAGGTATGCCATTGAAAAATGTATTGAGAAGCAGATCCAAAACCCAGATTTTTGAGATTTAAAGTGGGTTTTTGATCCTCAATTCGGCCCAAATCCGACTTTCAAAAGCCAGCCGGACTGTTTCTGATGAATGGACTGTAGTGTGTTATACTGCAACCTCACGAGTCAATATCAATTATTTTAGTACTCACACAGTGGACATTGCTAGGCAAGGCTTTCCATTGTAAAATTATTCAATCTATGGTGACTTCTTTTCTTAGGGCCTCTTGGTGAGGGTGGAAATTTCACGGTGATTTTTTTGGTCTTGCTGCTTTCTTTCCCGACAACAGAACTGTCGCAAGAAGATGCCAGCGCTTTTCTGGAGGAGCAAGTGCGCAGTGTGCTGGAGGAATGCAACATCAGCCCCGGCCGTGCCATAGACAAGAAAGACTTCAGCCTGGTCTGCAGGCAGCTGAACATGGAAATAGCTGAGGAACAGGTTAGATTGTAACCCGTGTGACAGAAGCCCACTGCAGCTGGGCCTGTAAGGGTAGCGTGGGCTCGAATCTCACCACTGGCACCAAGACCGCCGGAAACAGCTTTCAATTGGTCCGGTTGTACTTTAGTCTTTCATACTTTGTGTAAAGTAAGGGCGGGTAAACATGCATCGGTATCCACATAGTTGGTCCGGTGATACCTTGACCAACCGGACCGGTTCTGGCGGGCCTGACTGCTGACATGTTGCATTTGGCCCGCAAGCCATGCAGGAGTCCATTGGGGGGACAAGATAGGGACTGGTGTATTTGCCTGAGCATGCGCATACATAGTACAGAAGAGAGGGACAGTATGTAGAGTCATGGTGCTGTGACAATCACTATACGCTACAAGTATGTTGGGTTGCCGGTATGTTCCCCTACTCGTAACCTTGTCTATGGTGGAAACAAACTCAATATAGTTCACCTGCCGTCATGCGTATATTTCGTATTCTGCAGGTGGATGAGCTCTTTGAACAGCTGGATAAAACTGGCGAAGGTATGTCGACAGTCTTTCACTTACATTTTGACATGCGCACGTCGATATCAGCAGCATTCCCTTTTTATATCTGGTGCACATGGCTGTGAAACGATCAAATCGTGTGTATGTTCGTTATTGTTGACGCATCCACCACATCCTGAACAAACAACTGTTTGAATGTCCTGAAACAGCTAGAGCCAATGGATTATGTAACTTTTTTCTTTTAATCTGCACCCCAGGTCTTATCAGTCTGGAGGGCTTTGTCGAGGGTGTGTCAACCAGCTTCAACGCTAGTCCACTGCACGACAAGGATCACTCGGCTGGGAGATCCTGGTCTCAGCGTCGCAGTCCTGCCGTACGTTGTGTGCCCCTATATACGTCTAGTGCTTTGTGTGAGCATGAGAGATAGATAGATAGATAGATAGATAGATAGATGCATAGATAGATACGGGGGGGGGGGGGGGGGAGAGGTCCCGTCCGCCGCAAAGAGGGCTCAACAGTGCTAGGGTGCACTGGAGCTAGTACACAATGGAAGCAGTCCTCACCAAGGAAACGTAATCTGTTGCTGGATGGGTGGGTGGGTGGGTGGGTAGATATATAGATAACTTAGATACATAGATACAGGGGGAAGTGGTTAGATACATAGATACATAGATAGATACATAGCAGGCCCGTCGGAAGGCCGGCTAAGTTGGTCCGGTTTGAGGGGGATCCGGGGGATATGCCCCGGGCATTTTTGGAAAAATCTGGTCTGAAATAGCTGAATTTAGCCCTTTCACAAGTTTTCAGAGGCAACTACAGGGAATACTTTTGCGTGGATACCAATGTACAATGTATGGCCTACTATGGCCTATGTATGGGTGCATGTACATATGTATGCATGATCGATAATACCAAGAGTAGATAAACAAGAGTGTGCAACTCCGGATCTCTCCTGCACAATCTCCAGATACCTCCGCCCACGGCGGAATGTTTTGTTGACATCACCTTTTTTTTCAGAAAAACGCGCATCTTGCCGCAGAGCAGTGTGAGAGCACGTGCTGGGCACCAACATTGTTATGTAAGCCCGGCCAAGTGCACGAGGCAAAACTTTCCAAAAGACTAGCAGCGCGTGGGTGGTCGAAAAGATTACGTCAACAAAAAATTCCGCCGTGGGCCAACCCATCCGCGCGGATCCGGGAGTTGCACACTCTTGTTTATCTACTCTTGATAATACATGCCATGAACCCAGAATTTTTTCTCCCTGATTTTAGACGAATCCCAGGGGGTGACCTGAGCCAGAGTTGGTCCGGTGACAACCAGACCAACTGGACCGGTTCCGGCGGTCCTGCGTAGATAGATGTAGATAGATAGGTGCTGACTCTTTCCATAGCAAGCAGTATGCTTGAAAAGGCGAAAACAGGCTGCATTTGAATAATCGACTTACAGTCCGTTTCAAAAAAGATTTGCAATCCTGGCGATCGCCCGCGGAGTTTGGCGTCTTACCGTATGAGCGCTCGAGCGCTGCCTGGAAAAACTCACTGTGAACTCGAAGAAATATTCCGCGCGAAAGCAGGAAACACTGACACTGAACTCACTCACGTTGATACAGTCATGTACGTCTGGTTTACAACAAACGAGTTCTTCCTCGTATCGATAATGGAGTCAGAGAGCTCGAGACATGTTGAAACGAAAGTGTTGTAAATGTTGCTGAGCGGCATGGGTCCCAATTCGTTTTTTGACCAAAATAGTTTCTTTGAGCTGCGATGCAATTTACTCACCGTGTGACGAAAACGACATCGACACGGACTCATTCCCAAGGCCATGAAGTCCCGGCATAGCTATCCGTGTGACTTCGACGACATTTTGAGAAAAGCAGACGCGCTTGTGAACGCTGATAGAAGACGGCGTTGACTGCTAAATTCAAATAAATTGGCGATCTTGAAATACTAAAATAAATCTCAAAAAGCTACAGCACGATGATTTACGTATTCACTCACACCATTTCAGTGTTGTGGGGGTGTTCACATGGCGTGAGTCAGTCAAGTGTCAGTCAGTTCGGCAGGAAGCGCGATCTCCAACAACAAGTCGTTTGGTGCAGCCATCTTCTTTGTCTTGTACCAGCTTGAGCACCAAAACAATGAAAAAAAGTTTGACTTGAGGATAGGTTGGGATTTGAACTCACAACTTCATGGTCAGCAGACAGCATTCATAACCACAAGGCCAAAAAGGAAAGGATAAATCGTGGGTTTTGATAAAAAATCGATACTGGCTTCCTGGGTAAAGTCGAAACCATTGGAAAAGGCCGGAAACCTGGCCGAAATTGTAACTCCTTAACGGCGGTTCCAATTGTTCCGAAACCTTCGCAGAACAATTTGCCGTGTCCTAACAAGCCATTCTATGTACTTTGTTGTCAAAATTTCCCTTATCTTCATACTTTTTAAGACCCAAACCTGATTGCATTTCTTTTTGAAACAGACTATAGAGACAATAGTCATAAAATAGCGATGACAAACACAACTAGTTTCATTCATCGCCACGCGTTGCACTCTTTGGACCGTACCGACATATAAAGTGGCAGGGAATATTGAAGAGCACTAGAAGACAGTTGTCGAAAAGGTCCTCGGGCTGCGTATAGTGCTCTATGTCCAGTAAATGTATGTATCATGCTGTCGGATGAGTGTTTCTTAACACGAAACTCTGAGTGACGGCAGAAAAGGACTTGGTTGTATCATTACCGTGTGAAAGGTAGATTACAATAAATACACAATTCCAAAATCCGAGGTATGAGTGCGTGACCTCAACCTAGGTGATAGCGGGTAGTCGACCAAGTTGCATTGCTGCACAGCACAGTGTTTCTGATGTTTCACCTCTCGCAATCTACATTACTGTGTGTTGACAATATACACAGGCTGGCGGTGACCTGGCCTTCACGCCGTTCAACGGCAAAACGTCCACCAATCGACGCAGTGTGCAGCAGCGGCCTGGCACACCCATGCAGCGTAGCAACTCTACTAATCGCGTCAGTACACCTGTTGTGCCATTCAGCTACAAGAGAGGTAGGCAAGTGGAGTAAGAAAGGACTTGAAGCTTTGGTAGATTCCCTGGTGAATTGCCTGCTGCTGTGCAGGGATCATCACAGATTTTGGTCTGGACACATGGAGCCGAGGCGGGTGTTTGCCTGTGTCCCAGTGTCCCAACGTGTACCCAAGTGGAGTAATACAGGATTTGAAGCTGTGCTAGTTTGCCTTGTGAATTGCCTGTTTCTGTGCTGGAATCCCCACGGTATGTTATCTGAACACATTCCCTCACTAGTGGGACCATTGTCCATACAGTCGTCCCTCTCTAATCCGGCACTTTATAATCCAGCACCCTCGATAAACCGGCACAATTTTCAGTAGCCAAATGTCCTCTTCATGCACATTGCAGCAGTAGATCAGATTTGTTAATCCAGCACCCTCCCTAATCCAGCAGATTTTCGTGGCACAAATGGTGCCGGATTATAGAGGGACCACTGTATTAGGTTAGGGCTTGTTTTGGACTTCCCATTCCAAATAAAGAATACAAACAAACAAAACAAAAACACACGGAAGCCAAGACGGATGATTGCCTGGTTGCAGCAAAGAACCCAAACCCAGTGTGTCCCTTAGTGTCTGTAACTATGTTTGATCGCTGGCTACAAGCGAGTGTCCCTGGTTCGAGTCCTGTTTGGGACAGTCAATTTTTTTCTTCAGACTTTTCCCGTTCGTGTCTCTCCCTCAAACTAGTCAAAACTATTTTTGATGAGCAACACCTCCACACATTGTCGGGCACCACAACTATTCATACAATAATGTGATTCATAGCAAGTCATTGATGATCTACAGGGAGCATTAGTCATTGACCTGTACATGATCTACAGGTATCATCAAGAGTAGATAAACAGGAGTGTGCAACTCCGGATCTCTCCTGCACAATCTGCAGATACCACCGGCCACGGCGGAATTTTTTTGTTGACGTCACCTTTTTTCAGAGAAACGCGCATTTTGCCGCAGAGCAGCGTGAGAGCACGTGCTGGGCACCGACCTTGTAGTGTAAAGCCCGGCCAAGAGCACGAGGGAAAACTTTCCGAAAGACTCGCAGCGCGTGCGTCGTCGAAAAGATTACGTCAACAAAAAAATCCGCCGTGGGCCTACCCATCCGCGAGTTGCACACTCTTGTTTATCTACTCTTGGTAGCATTAGTCATTGACCTGTACATGATCTTCAGCATTGGAACATTCAAGAAAGCTTGGACTTCGCTTGCACGGCAGTAGAGAAAGAGGTAGCTTTGAAGTCTCTGACAAGGAATTTCTGTGTGACTGTGATCTGCTCAGAACTGTTCCCGGTGCTCACACAGCTTCTAGAGGCTGATGAAGCTGGGTAAGTTGATGAGGTGTGATGCTGATGCTTCCTTGTTCTGACCTCACAACAGTGCAGTATGCATCACGTTCTAGTAGTACTGTAAGACCAGATATTTCAACGTCAACTTAAGTTACTATGATGATCTCCGGATTTTTGTGGGCTAGCAAGGTGAAATTCTAACGAATTCTGTCTCGAAAGCGGCACATGACTGTGCATGTACATATCGTTTACTGTTTTGCTGGTTCGTGTTTTCTTGGAACGGGCAATTCATACTGAGAATGAAACCCTACTCCTGTGCGTGCATTAAATGCACTATTAAAAGCACAGACCCCAAATTATGATACATTGACAAATTCTCGCCGTTAATTCATTGATTGTGAGGAACACACGACACAGTCAGACCTCGCTTATCCGGTCCTCTTTTATCCGGATCCCTTTGGCATCTGGAAGAAAATTGTTGGTTACCGATTTACAGCATATGCTATGCATACATACAGTATGTCTGTTCGATTATGCGGTTCCCTCGCCTGTCCGGATATTTTTGTGGAAAATGGATGTGTGCGGTTATGCGGGGTCTGACTGTAGTAACGTTACATCACCGAGAATTCTCCTTTCACAGCGTGTATGTAGATGTGCATATCATCGTTGTATGAGTGTGGTTTTTAATGCATATACGTAGGGTCAATGTGTGAAAGTGCATATGCTCGGAGGGCTTAGTGGAGAGCAATGATTCTTCCAATCTTAATCAAGTTGATTGAATATTTTGCTGAAATGAATTTGTGAAAAGCAGTGATTGAGTGTGAGCCAGTGTTGCTCACAAGCCAAACTCTACTTATGAAGCTGCGTGATGCGTCCAACAATATTTTAAATCAATTTTTTTTAATTTATTACTTGGGCACCAAAAGTCTGTTGCATGTGATCAAGACCTGCCATTTTAGTGTTGGCCAGAAGTATGTATTTTTTAACCCCCGTCCAATATCTACCCTTACATCATAGGGGTGCGAAGTTAAACTTTGCACTGAGTCATCTGTGTGTACGTGTATGTGCGTGTGTGTATGTGTGTGTGTATGTGTGTGTGTGTGTGTGTGTGTGTGTGTGTGTGTGTGTGTGTGTGTGTGTGTGTGTGTGTGTGCGTGTGTGTGTGTGTGTGTGTGTGTGTGTGTGTGTGTGTGTGTGTGTGTGTGTAGTAGTAGTAGTAGTAGTAGTACGAGTAGTAGTATTCTTTTATTTTCCATCGGAAGCCTCAACAGTGATGAACACAACTCTTAAGAGGGCCGATAACAGAGTAGAGGGGTGTGGGGTAAGAAAAATAATAATAAGAGATGTTTAAACTAAACTCAACTGATACTTGGAACAATAAAGCAGCAGTAAGCAGTAAGCAGTAAACACAGGTATACAATACAAGCGATGCAGATCAATGAAGCCGTTTGCTGAAAAGAAGATCAAAATACTTCGGAAAAGACGCTGCGTCTTTAAGCATGGTCATAATGGGATAAGGCAAGAATTAAAGAAATGTTTTTAAAAACGAATTTAAACTAGGAACGCAGTAAACACAGTTATACAATACAGGCGGTGCAGATCAATGAGGGCGTTTGCTGAAAAGAAGATCAAAATACTTCTGAAAAGACGCTGCGTCTTTTAGCATGGTCTGAAGGTGCTTAGCAAATGTAGTGCGGTGCTGGGTGCGCCACTCCACAGGCAAAGAATTAAAGAACAGTGCAGCACGATTTGAAAAGGAATTGACACCGTCAGTCGTCCCGAATTTAGATATTGCAATAGCAGCATTAAAAGAGCTTTTTGTTGTCCTAGGGCCGGTTGAAACGTGAGGGAAAAGGTCCGTCAGATTTGGGAGATGGAAACGACATGATTAACATGGATAAATTTAGCAATGCTACGAATAAGGTAATGTTCAAACGGATCAATCGACAATCTAGCTAACAGCGGCATGACGTCATCTTGTAGTTTCGAGCCACAAGCAGCGCGTACAGAACGACGATAAACGGACGAGAGTCTACATCCACAGAAATTGCAGATAACGAATCAGTAACGGTAGCGACGGCCTCAGCTTGTGAACGTCTGCTGGCATACAACGTCATGTCGTTAGCGAACATCGGGAGCTTGCAAGAAAAGGCCTCTGCTGTCAATGGGAGCTTCCGTACATAGATGTTAAATAGAACTGGCCCCAGAATGGTGCCCTGTGGCACGCCACTAGTGATTGCCACCAACGGAGATGTTCCAATGTGGGTAACCACCCGCTGTTGTCTGGCACAAAGGTATGATCAGAACCAGGCCAGGGCCGCTCCCGAAATACCGACAGCTGCGAGAGCAAGAAGAAGCTGCTGATGCTTCACCATATCGAACGCTTTTTTCAAATCAAAACAGACAACCGCCGTATGCAGTCCAGCGTCGCGCGAGACAAGCCAGTCGTTCGTAACCTTGGTGAGAAGCTGTCCGGTAGAACGGTGCTTCCGAAAGCCAAACTGGTCCACATGGAATGGGCAACGATCATTAAGAAACACGTGTATACGAGAACATGCACATGATACAACAGGAAGGCTAGTACGTGTGGCAGTTCAGACCGAGCGGCGTTGGTCTCGAGCAAGCATTAGCTCACGACGCGAGGAGGGGCGAGGTCATGAACGGGCAATTTTTCCGACGGGACTTCCTGTGTTTCCTGGTTACGTACGGTGCGATGATATCAAGCACAGCATTGACTTTCCCTGTCCACTCGTCCAACATCAGGTCTGGGGTACGGGATGTAAAGATATGAAGATCGGAGGACAGCAGCATATCGCAGAAACGCTGAGCGTTGAAGTTCCGGTAGTCTCTGCGTGTTTGATGGGTAGTAGTATTGCTCCGCACATCCATCATGGGCACTGGGACGGAAGTAATGACGAGGCGATGGTCTGAAAACTCACAGTCCACGACAGAGGCTAACGGAACTCGATCAATGTTCGTGAGAATACAGTCAATGGATGTACGGGTAGAGCCTGTTATTCTTGTTGCTTCAGTTGCTTTATTGGCCAGTCTGCACGGAAGCAGCAACGTGTCTTTGAGATGGTGGAACGCACTGGACGTCTGACGCAGAAAGTCCACTTTTATGTCACCAAGCAACACAATATTCTCACCGTCCAGCTGCTCGGTGGATGTAGCGAGCCGATTCCAAAACTCTACCGGCTCGGATGGGGGACGGTATATGCAACCAAACAAGGTACTATCTTTGCCTGTGCCGGCTCTAAGCCACATCAACTCTAGACTGGAGTGTGAGTGGTCCAAGATGTGCTTAGCTTTAATATCTTCCTTTACGAAGATGCAGATCCCGCCTCCTTTACGACATGGAGTGCAGGAGGATGGGCAAGTGCATCCATCAACGCACGGCCTGTCTCGACGTAAGAGAATTGTGCCTGGTACAGAAACCTCAGTGTCCGAGATGCTTGAGTCGAGCCACGTTTCCGTAACCGCCAGCAGATCTAGGCAGTGCTCATCTATTAGCTTAGTTATAACATGGGTTTTATGTCGTAGGCTGCAAATATTTATGTGGCCAACATTTAGTCGGTTGGATGGTGAATTGTAGAGTAGAATGCTGGGGTTGGAGGATTTGGGGACGAAGGGGTGAACACAGGAGCATGCGGGTTCAGGGGCTGTGAATACCGGTAGGTGGTGTGTGGCATTATGTGAGTGCTGGAGCTGTGCCGTCAGCACCAAAGCGCCATTCACGAACTGCAAAACCGAGCGAGTCCGGCCAAAATGCTTTGTCCTGTACGGTGGTGGCGTCCGACGCCAACACTGTGACCCTGGCAAACCCTGTTCGGAAGCGCTCCGAGGTGTACGCAACACTCTGCACAATGTGTACATCCTGTGCCTGACAATGCTCTGCAATTGATTTGGCATCACATTCGGGGTCCACGTTGCCAACGTAGAACACTTTGACTGTGTGTGTGTGTCCGCGCGCGCGCGTGAGTGTGTGTGTGCGCGCACGCGCACATGAGTGTGTGTGTGTGAGTGTGTGTGTGTGTATACGTGTGTGTGTGTGTGTGTGTGTGTATACGTGTGTGTGTGTGTGTGTGTGTGTGTATACGTGTGTATGCGCGTGTGTGCATGTATACATGTATACATGTATATATGTTCGACTACAGGATGGTAAAGATTGACACCATCTACAAAGTCTGGCAGGAGCAGAATCTGGATATGGAAGACGAAGAGTCGAATGCTATAAAGTTTCTATCTGTAAGGGTTTGGAGGAAATCTGGGTTTGGAGGAAATTGCAACTGTGCACGCTGATGATCTCAATCATCTCTTGCATTTCGGGTAACACTGGGACAAAGGTTCCCACAGGGCACATCACAGGGCACATCACAGGGCACATCACAGGGCACATCACAGGGCACATCACAGGGCACATCACAGGGCACATCACAGGGCACATCACAGGGCACATCACAGGGCACATCACAGGGCACATCACAGGGCACATCACAGGGCACATCACAGGGCACATCAACACCATCATCGTGTGACACCTCTTTTGTCTTTCCATTGTTGGTAGAGGCTGGTTTCAAAAGAACATATAAACGTGTACTGCGTGTGGTGCATATACATGCTTTTCCTTGTCGCCATTTATTGCACAGGGAACGCCGCATCTGCTTACACGCAGTGTTCTGACCAGATGACGAAACAACCCTCTCCTGCATGCGGTGACAGAGCTAGATTCGCGCGACATTTAAAATCCATGTAGACTACATACTGCTGGCCTTAAAAGAAAGACATTACAATTACACCATAGCGGCTCAGTGGTTGGAACATTACTGATCATCATTATTACCTAGTACTTGTCCCTACTGATTCCCCTGGTACCTACAAGCGGTCAAATATTGCACATTGACTGCATTTATAATACTCCTTTTTAGAGAAGATGATAAATAGATAGTAGACCTAATTCGGTCTATGAATGCTATAGTAGACCTCCTGATCGGTCAACAAGCTACGCTTAGCAAATGTACCTTTCTCGAGTCCTGGTGGTCATAGTCAGTTTATAGGACTTTTTCCCATATTCATTCCCTCACTTCCCAAGTTCATTTCATTTCAATTGTTCGAAAAAATTAAAATCTATAGAAAAGAAAAGGAGCAAGGAACTACAAGTTACGCTATAATGTCCACTAACACCACCAGTTACTTGCGAATCAGCTTATGCGATAATATTGCACGACACTGACCAACGGTACTGACGTTCTACAACTAACTGCCAATCAGCTCTAGCAAGTCTTGGATGCGCACTCCAACAGCCTTCCAACTTGTCAACTTGTCTGGGTTGTGTGCACCTTCCCCTCCTATGTTATTCCTATGACTTGGAACCTTCCGAGTTGGAAGGCTGTTGGAGTGCGCATCCAAGACGTGCTAGAGCTGATTGGCAGGAAGTTGCAGAACGTCAGCACCGTTGGTCAGTGTCGTGCAATGTTATTGCATGAGCTGATTGTCAAGTAACTGGTGATGTTAGTGGACATTATAGCGTAACTTGTAGTTCTTTGCTCCTTTCTTTTCTATAAATTTATCCTAGGCTCTCCATCTGAGTCCATTCCTGCACACCTGATGAGCCGTCCTAACATATAATCGGATAGCGAAACAGTATGGCAGGGTTTTGAAAGGAAAGAAAAAGTGTGTGTACACGTCTGTGCGTGTGTGCATGTGTGTTTGTGTGCATGCGCGTTTGTGTACCAGTCACTGGAGATGAACACCAACGGAACAGTGGATGTCAACCATCTGACGTCGCGTTTAGAGAGTGCTCTGGAGAATGACGAGCTCACAGCCAATGCCACAGGTATGCCAGTGTCAATCAGAACCAGGGACGTAGCCGGTCCCCCCCCCCCCCCCCCCAGAAGGGGGGACCGGCCACATATGTGTAGGATGACTAATGCATGTCATTCATGGTCATCATGTGCATGCTGAACCTAGGCCGACATTTTTAGGGGGTCCACGTGCCCCCCGTGCCCCATGTGGGCTATGCACCTGCGTAGCAGAATGCACATGCATCTGGACCGACTCACTTGCTGGTGGAATATAATAGGCGATAACTGAATCATCGAATAAGAAAGAGGATGCGCAGAAAGGGAGAACAAATTGGCTGTCCTCTTTTCCAGAATGTTTTAGAGTATCGATTTGATGGTTTAGCTTTGAAGTAGTAGACGAAATTCTGCAACATGCCATGGTCCACCCTGGCCTTGCCGATAGTGACGTGGTAGCAAGAACTGTTTGTAGTTTGGTTTGCGTGGTCCATGACAGCAGGAGCTGTGCTAGTCGAACTTGAACCCTGTGCAATTCACACTACTCGTCCCCTGTATATCAGAGCAAGCATTCACCGAACGTCACCTAGAAATACCAGGCGTATTCCACTGGAAGACAATGTAATGGATGACCGTCCATCGAAATCATGCTTGCAGTTGAGCCAGGTTTTCTAGGTATGTTTGCACCCAAACATCAGACTTCCGTGACCCATAAAACAATCTTGAAAATCCAAACAGGCTTCCTTCATGTGACGACCGGCTTCTCAACTAAACAGTACAGCATATCACACATGAAAGGCCAGCACGAAACATGTCTAAGCCACCCTGAGTAAAGTCACCAGTCTCCTGTACATCGACAGTGTGTGTGAGTGTGTCTGTGCTTTTTGTTTGTGCTGCCCTGTTCCCACAACGCACAGGCAATCGTTACCTGGCATTGCACTTCATTCACGAAGAGATTCACGCGCTCAGGTAACTGGATAGTGCAAACCAGTTCATTGTGTATTGCCTACACTGAATATGCCTTGCTCACAGCCAGCTTTGCTGCCAGTAGCTGTAACTATCCGTTCAACTACCAGTGGCGTCTCAGGATCACACATTTGTATTTTGTTTCTATTATATTTAACCGCTTCCCCAGATGCAAGCGATGCTTATCGAAGTGTATCGTGGAGAATGGGAAAAGGAAATGAAGAATGATAAAATGATATAATGGTATGTTGTCAAGCTCTTTCATTGCGGGATGCTGCCGCTGTGATTTGTTGTGTTAGGCTGCAGCACCATCAAGGCGAGCTCGAGACGCAGAAGGCACGTAATGACCTTGCACGCATTCAGGAGGAGCACAATCGACTTGTCACAGAGGGCGATGACCTGGTGGAGCTGCAGTCCAAGCGACACGAGCTGCGCTTAAAGTAGGTCTTGCACCGTATCTAGCTGGCGCAAATGGAGATAGAAACAACCCTTCTTGGCACGTCCATCATGCGTTGTTGCCAAATATCGGTTTCTCCCAAAATTGGACACATTTTCTCCAGACACCCGGACTCTCAGTACAATGAGCAGTTTTCCGTTTGTGGTAAAGTTGCATAAATATAATTTTTATACAGTCTTACCACAACACGTACGTGTACAGTGCGCATAGTCAGGGATTTCCGTGCGAGTCGGAAAGCGTGCTTTTAGTTTTTTTAGGATCGGTTATTGGATAGGTGGATTTCCGATAGCTCTTAATTAATTTAGACGATTTGGTAGTATTGGCCATTCATGGATTCGTGCCAGCAGCCTATCTGTTTGTGATGTTTCGTGGCAAGCCAACATGGTTATTATCCCTTTGGAGCCCGGTCATTCAAATGTCGACGGTTGCAAAGCAGTGCGGTATTTTGAGTGTCTCAGAGGTAGATTATGGCTTGTGTTTGGGGAAGTCTGTCTAATGCAGTAAGGCTTGTGCAGCGGTCAATACATGTAAAAGTATCACGCAAAGGCCTTTCCAATCCAATGTAGTCCTGATTTGGATCAAATATACCGTATGTCCGCACCTTTAAAGCCATGGTGGTATATTCGATTATAAATCCAGTCTCAGTTATAAAGCCATGTGTTTAATGACATTAGAAGTATGTTTTGCAAAAATGAAGTAATAAGTACTATGCTAACAAACTTACAGCCCAGCACGAAGGGCGAATAAGTAGATTTAGATTAAAATTTCTATGTGGACTTTGACTTTTATGGCATGGCATAGTGGGTGAGTCATTTTGCATCTAAAATAGGTAGGAAAGCAGCGGTGTTTCAATTATAAGGCCATGGCTTTAAAGGCGCTGCCATACGATATGCAAGTCTGTCCTCTTCCTTAAGAAGAAAGTTCTGACAGCGTTGGGACGGTTTTTTTGTAAATTTGCTGAGCGCGGAGCATTTTCGTACACGAGAGACAGGTCCGATTGGAATTGGTTGTGCCTTAAATTTCATACTGTAGCAAGCGAGTTGTTTGATTTTGCTTGGTGAAACTTGAAGTCAGACGGCTGATTCCAACTGGACACATGTATTTAATTGTTGAGTGCCTCTCGGTATAATAAAATATTTCAACAGAGCTTTCGGCCACACTCCAATTTTCTACTTCCTCAACCCGTCACCACCATGCGCTCCTAGCTGAACCAATGTACGGAAGTGTCTGTGTCCTTGCTGTGCTGGTGTGTTATGATTCGTACAATTGGTTCGGCTAAGAGCGCACGGTGGCGATGGGTTGAGGAAGTAGTCTCTCAATGCACAGCACTGCTCAATGAAATCCAGTCACAGCATTGCTTAAGTATGCACTGGGCGTTGTGCAGCCCTAGACCTGCGAACACTGGGCTGCGGAATGGTGCGAGGTGCAAACTTGAGTGACGCGACTGGATTTCATTCAGCAGTAGTGTAGATCTAAATTGTGTGTGCTCCTCGCTGTTCACTGTGTGTGCTCCTCGCTGTTCACTGTGTGTGCTCCTCGCTGTTCACTGTGTGTGCTCCTCGCTGTTCACTGTGTGTGCTCCTCGCTGTTCACTGTGTGTGCTCCTCGCTGTTCACTGTGTGTGCTCCTCGCTGTTCACTGTGTGTGCTCCTCGCTGTTCACTGTGTGTGTGCTCCTCGCTGTTCACTGTGTGTGATGTAGGGAGGCTGAGGGGAAGTTCTCTGAGAAGATCGCTGCTCACGACAGGGAGCTGCGCACGATGCAAGACAGGCTGTCCAAGGAGGAGAGCCTGCAGCGTCAGCGCCTGGAGCAGGCGCTGGAAGACATGCAGAGCGAGGAGAAGATGCTCAGAGCGGAGCTGAAAGAAAAGCAAGAGGTGCAGTACTGCCGCTCGGGCATTTACAGTATACGGATTTTCCGGGGCCCGGGGGGGGGGGGGGTGGAGGACAGGGGAGGGTGGAGGACAGGGGAGGGTAGAGGACAGGGGAGGGTAGAGGACAGGGGAGGGTAGAGGACAGGGGAGGGTGGAGGACAGGGGAGGGTAGAGGACAGGGGAGGGTGGAGGACAGGGGAGGGTGGAGGAGAGGGGGTTGAGAAGGTAGTACAGCATGTGTACTTTATTCAGTATATGGATTTTACAATGCATAATTCTTGTATCGTGCTCTCGTCTCAGACTTCCTGGAGGTGCATGTATGACGAATACCATGGTTAGTTCTTGTTCAATGCGTTTCCTCTGATTGGTATTCGCCATGTTGCTCTGTGTCTTGCTGTAGCAATTGGATGAGTACGAGGCTGACGTTGCCGAGGCCAACAGCAATGTGCACCTGTGGAAGAGTCAGTGTGCAAAGCTGAAAGAAGACCTCGATGCTCAGCGGGTTGAAGCGTTACAGGTAAGGCTGGCGAGAAGGAAACATCCATTGGGCCCGGGGAAGGAAAGGCGTGTGGCGTCGACCAATTAGAGCAATGCAATGAATGGCAGTGGAGACGGTGGAGACGGTGGGTATTGATAGCGGGTCTTATCAGTAGAGCATTGCTGGCCTCAAGCGAAGGTTCCTGGCTCGACTCCTGGTCGGGTGACAGTCCTTTTTTTCCTCCGACTTTTCCCGTTTCCATTCCCTCAACTAATGAATATTTGCTACACCAGTGCAAAGTATAATTCTGTTTTCAGTGTTTTCTACGAACATATTTTTATGATCAGTCATCACCACTACACAAAGGTCGTTGACGCTGAAAGTTTTATTCAAAAGAAATCTCCAAATTTTCGCCCTTGGGGCTCCATCAGGGAGTAAAATAATAATGAAATGAAACTGGCTCTGTAGCAAGCTATAATAGCGGAGCATTCAGACATTGAGACATTGGCACTACAGAAGTGAGGAGAGGAAAGCATGAGGCGTCATACATTAGCACTATAATAAATGAATGACGAGGACAACAAGAGGTGCACACTGGTTACATGGTGATAATCACACAAAGTGAGAGAGAAGTGCTAAGGGGGCACAAGGGAACGCAAACCAGAGCGCAACATAAGAGTGAAACGTGTAACGTGTAACATGGAAGTGAAACAACCGCACATGCACCAACTCAAACACACAAACGCACACACACACACACACACACACACACACACACACACACACACACACACGCACACACACTCTCACACACACACACACAAACAAACACACACACACACACACACACACACACAGAAGTGTCCTCTTCCGTTATGGACCATCCTTCGTCCTCATTGATTTCGGGCCTTCTGTCCCTGATTTCAATCGCCTCCATTATCTTTCGGCTTGGGAGTGATGTCTCACGACCCACGATCTGGGCGTTGTTGAAAGACTCGAACCCCGTCGCCGCCGTCGCCTCCACCACATCGCCGTGTTGCATCCTGTAAGGCTGTAGTGGAATCCCCACGGGGATTTTGCCACTCTGGCTCATGCCTCCCGGTAGTGCTCGCCAAATCTGACATGTACAGGACGCTCCGTTTCACCCACATACTCCTTTCCACAGACAGTGCAAAACATAGAGTACACCACACCTTTCACCACACAAAGACTATCAGGCATACCCGCATCGCACGCTCTGCATTCTCTCGGCCGCCCACGTCCTCTGTCCCTCCTCTGCTTCTCACGTAAGCAGCATGGACGCTCAGACGACGCAGTAACCAGAAGTATCACTTAACGATCCCCTGGAGGTAAACACAACTCGCACACCAGGACTAAATCGACGGACTCTGCGCTTAACTTCCTTCGCAAGGCGATCATTGATGAATGGTAGCTTAAGCACCGCTGGCAAAGGAGCCTCCCCGCCTGCCCGCCCCTGGGTCGGCTTGTGGACTTTGTTGACTTATTTGATTGCCACAGTTTTCGCACGCCGGATTTCATTCTCGGGGTAGTCGTTGCTGCGGAGGAGTCTGGCGATCTTGCCAACTCCGCGAGACTCGCCCGCGGATGTGGAGGCCGGTTTGAAATTGCTCTGCGCATTTGACTCGTTGCGACAGATCGCTTGACCGGCATGGGGAGCAACGACTGGAATGACAAGTGCACACCGATTTGTGTGGGCTTCATATAGAGCTCCCAATCCAACCGGCCTCCCTGGGCAGTGATGGTTAAGTCGAGGAAATTAACAACGGGCTCCTCGCCATTCCGGGAACTCTCCAAAGTGAACTTTATACTTGGGATGCATGCTGTTAAAGAAGTCGACGAAACGCAGAAACTCCTCTAATCCAAAGAATCAGAGGAGGATAACATCGTCGATGTATCGCCTGTACATGAGAGGTTTAAGATGGTACTCCGCTAATGCCCTCTCCTCCAAGTGAGACATGAATAATATAGCAAGCGGCGGAGCAAGGTGATTGCCCATGGCAATGCCCCTGACTTGTCGATATTGCTTCTCCTCAAACTCGTAGTAATTAGACGTAGGAGCGTATTCCAGCATATTCCGAACATCGGATGGCTCAAGCCAGAACATGTCAATTTCGTCTCTATGACTTTCGAGAGCCTCCATCGCAACGTCGATACTTTCTTGGATTGGAATATTGCTATATAGTGCGACCACATCCATCGACGCAACAATACAATTTTCCGGTATATTATGATGTGTGCGGAGATCGTCGATGCATTGTTTGGTATCTCTCAAATGTGCAGGCACAAAACGCAGCAACTGATTTAATATGCGCTCTACCAGGAGGGGCATGTTGCTCGTTGGGCTGTCGCATGTTGACACTACCGGACACAGTGGCATTCCTGGTTTATGATCTTTAGGAAGCCCATAGAATTGTGGCATGCGCGAGTAGTATTGGTACATAGCTTTCTCTAGTTTCTCAGGAAGTTTGTCCTTTATACAGCCCTTTAGTGTCTCACGACACTCACTGTCCAACGCATCAATCTTGACTCTTTGAGGTTCGTAATCAGCCGGGCAATTAAGCATGTTATTCTAACCTTTGCCCGATAGTTTTCTGCGAACATAACAACAAACCCCTTTCCTTTATCAGAAGGCTTCACAACTACTTCGGGGTTGTTCTTCAACGCCTTTTTAAGATTCAAATTGCGATTTTCGAAAGTTTCTTCCGTGTTGCAGAGTCACTTGTTTGTGTGTGTGAGAGTGTGTGTGTTTGTTGGTGCATGTGCGGTTGTTTCACTTCCACGTTACACGTTACAGTCAACGTCGCTTATAACGACACTCGGCGGCGGGGCATCAGAAAAGTGTCGTTATTCACAAAGTGTGGTTATACCCGAAGTTTCATTATATTATGTATTACAGTTGGATGGGACTTTGCTCTGGAAATTCTGTCGTTATTCGCGAATTGACGTTATATCCGCAGTCGTTATTAGCGAAGTTGACTGTACACGTTTCACTCTTACGTTGCGCTCTGGCTTGCGTTCCCTTGTGCCCCCTTAGCACTTCTCTCACGCTTCTCACACTTCTTTCACGCTTCTCTCTCACTTTGTGTGATTATCACCATGTAACAAGTGTGCACCTCTTGTTGTCCTCGTCATTCATTTATTTTAGTGCTAATGTATGACGCCTCATGCTCTCCTCTCCTCACTTCTGTAGTGCCAATGTCTCAATGCTCCGCTATTATAGTTTGCTACAGAGCCAGTTTCATTTCATTATTATTTTACTCCCTGATGAAGCCCCAAGGGCGAAATTTGGAGATTTCTTTTGAATAAAATTTGCAGCGTCAACGACCTTTGTGTAGTGGTGATGACTATCATAATATGAATTGGCTGCAGTGGAGCCTCCGCGTTCTAAAAAATGTTTTCTACGAACAGCTATTTCTTTTCAAGAGATAAGAGCACCAACATCTTAGAGCTCCAACAAGACCTCTCACCCTGTGTTTTGTGTATAAGGTTTGCAACTTCAATGATTCAAAGCACTGGTGGTGCACTTACACTTTGGTATCGTATTGTCTGCTGTGTGGCTATGCCCTCAGCTGTTGCAACGGGAAAGTGACGACAAGGCCTTCCAGGAACAACTGGAAATGGAGATTGCCAAGCGCATGGAGACGGAGAGAGCGGCACAGAAGGTCGGTATGCCCGATGATTTGTGTGGAAAAATCCAACCCCATGTATCTAGCTTGCTGTCTCAACTAGGCCGGGCTACATGGATATTGTAAACTGAATTATCTATCAAAAATGCAGTGAAGCTGATTGTGTTTCTAAATCGAATATTTGTAAAGAAGAGGTTGCAGTAGTGACTTTGGTGATACTTGGTGGAATTGTGTGTTGCTCTCTACCTGGGAGCTTGCACTTTTCCTGCCGAATCCACTCAAAACCGCCATCCAGAGCACATGAGAAGTCCATTGAACCTTCATCGCGGCAAACCTGCAAGAAAGCATCGCTCCCTGCTCAATACACAGTGTTTCGGGGAATTCACCCCGTATCAGTTTAGCTTGAGTAGGCTAACGAAATTGATTATTTGTGCTTCGAGGAAGGTACAGTACGATGGACTTCATGAATCAATCGAGTGAGAATTCAATTCAGCAGGAAAAAGTGTGATCCCCCACTTAGAGGGAGGAACACACACTTCACACAATATTTTAGCTGGTGGAAACGCCGCTGAGATGTGCAAACTTTACTTCTTATGTGCAATTAGATCAGCTGGAGTCAACCTCACAATTCGTATTGGTAACTTCAATAGCTTTCTGTTTGCACAGGCACTGCAAGATCAGTATGACGAGATGAAAGCTGACAGGGATTTCCTCCGCCACCAGCTAACCATCTCGCAGAAGAAGAGCGGAAAGCGCCTATCCGGAAAACACTCCAGTAAGCCGTAATGGCCGACGCATATGCTAGCTGCCGGTGATGTTGGGACTGGACGTTGATGACTATGCCGTTCCCACTCTCTATGCATTGCAGTTTACTCAATCTGCGGACAGAACTGTTTCATCCTTTGTGGCCTCATCAGCGCAGCACAGAGAAAATGAGGCCGAACCTGATAGCAATGAAAAATCAGTCTATGTACCAGTATATCATTTGGACACCAAGTGTACTACTATATCGGTATGCTGTGCTTATTGAAATGCTGGCGTGTTTGTTCTTCGGCACCCGTTCTTCAGCACGGCCCAGTACTGATGGCTCAATACACGTTCTCCATCTGTCTTTCAGAACACCACTGATGCTACCTTGTATTAAAGTGGACAATAGTATCCAGAATAAGGTACAGATAGCGGCCCCGAGACCACTCTAGCTCCATGTGGAACCGTGACAAATCTGATATATTCTTACCGAAAAGTCTTTTTCTCTCCTGTCCTCCACCGTGCTCCAGGTTCCCGCCTGAAAACGCAGGATGTGCGAGTGAAAGCGTCGCCGCGTGTCGGACGTCGCACGTCGGCCCGAACTCCAACGACCAACCGTCGCTCTGTGAACCTGGATCAGCAGCCGACGCGGCCCGGCGCCCTGGACTTCAGCGAGCCATCTGACCAGGAGGACACGATGGGTGAGCACAGGAGTACCATCTCATAAAATATGTTAGCAGCTCCCTCCAACAGGCTACAGCCCAGTGTTTGCGCGTCTTTGGTTCAATGGCGCATGACGCTTCTTGTTTCGTACTATCGCACTGCACCGAGCGGTACTGGATATCCCCCGTGTGCAGTATGCAGTGGATGAGACCTAGTCTGTCCCCCCCCCCCCCCCGTGTGCAGTATGCAGTGGATGAGACCTAGTCTGTCCCCCCCCCCCCCCCCCGTGTGCAGTGGATGAGACCTAGTCTGTCCCCCCCCCCCCCCCCCCCGTGTGCAGTATGCAATGGATGAGACCTAGTCTGCCCCCCCCCCCCCCCCTGTGTGTGCAGTATGCAGTGGATGAGACCTAGTCTGTACCCCCCCCCCCCCCTATGTGCAATATTCAGTGTTCAGTGGATGAGACCTAGTCTGTACCCCCCCCCCCCCGTGTGCAGTATTCAGTGGATGAGACCTAGTCTGTACCCCCCCCCCCCCCCCCCCCCCCGTGTGCAGTATGCAGTGGATGAGACCTAGTCTGTACCCCCCCCCCCCCCGTGTGCAGTATGCAGTGGATGAGACCTAGTCTGTAAACAGTGGCCGGGGGTATTTGGTATTTTTAAGGAGAATACTTGAAGCGCTCTATGTGGAGCAGCGTGTGTATCTCGCACAACCTCTTCCCTGCGGCATATGCATGTATGTTACTCCGGTCTTCCGTGTGTTTGGAGGCGAGTCTTCATTGCTGAAACCAAACACTGTGCATTGTGTGTGTGTGTGTGTGTGTGTGTGTGTGTGTGTGTGTGTGTGTGTGTGTGTGTGTGTGTGTGTGTGTGTGTGTGCGTGTGTGTGTGTGTGTGTGTGTGTGTGTGTGTGTGTGTGCGTGTGTATGTGCGTGCGTGTGTGTGTGTGTGTGTGTGTGTGTGTGTGTGTGGGTGTGGGTGTGGGTGGGTGCTTGCGTTGTTCCTGCAGATGCCGATCTGATGTCGCCAATGGACATGAGCCTCATGGACGAGTTGAACACGGACACAAGTATGGCCAGTACTATGGTGCTTGTTGTGGATGAGTCATTATGAGTCATGATGAGTCATGATCTCCAGAGAATCGTGTCCTGTCTGTGTATGCTTTGTCTTTTAATATGTTATGAACTGCTGTAATCTGTTTCGGTGAAACGAGAAGGCAAGAAGTTGGAGAATCATGGCAGTCACTCTGTGTTTGTGTGTGTGCACGCGCGCGCGCGTGTGTATGCATGTGTATACATGTGTGTGCACATGTGCGTGTGTATGTGTATGTGCGCGTGTACGAGCATGTATGTGCACATGTGTGTTTGTGTACGCCCGTGTGTATGTGACTTGACTCAAACCGTGCTTCTTTCTACACGCAGAAACTCCAGTCGATGAAGAGAAGCTGGAGCTGATCGGCAAGTGCGCGTCACTAGAGCGCGAGAAACTGGAACTGGCAGATAGCAACCGCCGCAATGAAGAGAAGTGTGAAAAGCTGGCGGAGGAGCTTGACACAGCAGCTTCTGCTCAGGCACAGGCCGAGAAGGAGGCGAACAACCTTCAGCTGGCCATGAAGGCAATTGATATGCAAAAGACCCAGCTACTGGCGGTAAAGGAACAGCTCTCAAGCTCACTGGAAGAGACTGAGGCGCAGGTGAGGTCATGATGGTGACCGGTGTCTTATCCATGCTGTGCCACTGCTTTACGCATAATAATAATAATAATAATAATAATAATAATAACAGTCAATTTTTTCTTCAGACTTTTCCCGTTTGTCTCTTTCCCTCAAAAACCAGTTAATATTTTATGACTTGGGGCTCCCCGCGTGCTAGTTTGTACGTGAAGTGTGTGGGTACAGTGAGGGCTGCGTCCCACCCGCCTGTGTGGATTCACAGGAAGTGTGAGTTACGAAGTCTGAAGAAAACATTGAACGGTCTCTGCTTGGATGACGACTACACCATAGCTCAGTGGTTAGAGCATCGCTGGCTACAAGCGAGGGTCCCTGGTTCGAGTCCTGGTGGTGACAGTCAATTTTTTCTTCAGACTTTTCCCGTTTGTCTCTTTCCCTCAAAAACCAGTTAATAATAATAATAATAATAATATGAACAGGTCGCATATTGCCCGCATAAACAATCATACTGGGGTTATGCATCTGTCAATGATCGTTAACTTTACGTATGTGGGTGTGTGTGGGTGTGGGTGTGCAAGTAACACGAAGTACCGCGAGATAGCCCCATCATCGCCAGCCCTTTGTGGTAGTTTTTGTCAACTTGTGGTGTCCTGACTCTAGGTCATAAGACACGTACCTTTGTACACACATGTCACATTGTGCACCCAGTCCGTGCTCAGTTTACTCTGATTTCAGAAATTTTCGGTATGAGGGCAAAAGGCCAGGTTAGGTGAACAGAAAATTTAGGTACAGAGAAGCAGTTCCCTGTTGGTTTATGTGTGTTCGTGTTTGTTCGGTGTATTGGAAGTTTAGGTATGAAACAGATGCACCGAAAGTAACGAAAATTTGTGAAATTACAGTACCTTTGAGCAGATGCGAGCTATACACTGCAGCATGCTTAGAGTGACATTTGTACACTAGAGCTCTCACACTGGATTATGGCACTTGGCTGTTCAAAGTTCGAACATTCAGGAGATTAAAATTGGCGTCGGCCGATCTACAGTCATGCATTAGTGTGTGTTTGTGTGTGTGCGTGTGCGTATGTGTATGTGTGTGCACGTGCGTCTACACATGTACGTAATGCATGTGTGCCTGCGTATGGCCGTGTTCAACACCTGTCCAGTTGATAACGTCTCGTCACAACTGCCGGGAAACGGAAGACCGTGTGGTGCAGCTCTCCACCGAGCACAGCACACTCTGTGAGCAGCTACAGCAGGCACGTGATGAGAGTACCCTACATCAGCAACAGACAGCTGAGGTCCGGGAACAGATAACTGTCCTTGAGGGCCAGCTTTCCGGAGCAACTGCTAAGCTTCAGGAGACCCAGACACAGCTCGAAGAGGCAAGCACAGCCAAGGAAACGCTGGAAGTCCAGGTGGTGGACATCACGACACAGCTGGATGGTGCGGTGAAAAGACGAGCTGAACTGGAAGAAACGATGAAGGTAACAACTGTCTCGCACTCCCCTGATCCAGACTCCCCTGATCCAGACTCCCCAGATCCAGACTCCCCTGATCCAGAGTCCCCTGATCCAGACTCCCCTGATCCAGCTGGTCCTCCCCCCCCCCCCCCCCAACCGGGAGGGTTCTTGTTCATGCATAACACTGTACTTGACTGTGTTGTGTGTTGGTCCTGATTTAACGCACTCTCCACATACAGGCATGCACCCGGCTCAGAACACATTGTTTTCTGGTTGGCATATCAGGGATATTGGGCGGAGCAGCTGGCGTGCATGAGAAAGACAGGTCGGCCTGCTCTGCGCAGGAGCTGTGACCCGGTGCACACATAGTGTGTGTGAGAGAGAGACAGACAGGTCGGCCTGCTCTGCGCAGGAGCTGTGACCTGGAGCACACAGAGTGTGAACGAGAGACGGTCGGCCTGCCGTGGGCAGGAGCTGCGACCGGTAGTGATTGAAATGAGCCAGCTGCGGAGATAGACTGCCCTCACCCGATATAAGTATATTGACAAGAGTTGTACTGACACTGTTATTGAGGAAATTATGGTGACAGTGACGGAGAGATAGTGATCCCCAGTCGAATGGGGTTGGGAGGGAAGGGGAAATTGACACTGACGGACAAACCAGTGAACAGTCAAGTCGTCAGAAAGCAAAAGTGACAAAGGAGTCTCTCTTTTCTCCTTCTCTCTCTCTAAAGCAAGATTTGGAATGCATGCGTGGGAGAGTGGCGCGCGCTGCGCATGCGCATGTATAGCAATGACATCATAATCAGATGCATGATCATCAGACTAAGTATGAGTGGTAGATGTTCCACGTTCGTTAACAGGGCTTAGCGCACACGCTAAACCACCATTAAAAAAAAATAGAACAAACAATGCAAGGGCGTCGGAACTGCTCCGGCCGGGGCGGCCATGGCCGCCCCACTTTTTCGGCCGTTTTTTCTTTGTTTTTTTAGCACACTGCAACAAAGCGCGATGATCTCAGCAAAAACGTGGCAAATCCTTGTCCCCGATCGTGGTTTGTTGCAGAATCAAAAGTCCATGTACACTGAAATGGCACCAAATGCCTGGGAATGCTTGCAATTGGCTTCAATTTTTGATTTTTTTCCCAGGGAGGGTAATGTTTGTCCCCGATCGTAGCCGATCTTCTTGTTTTTTTGCAGAATCAAAAACTCTTTCATTGTAGTTACCGTACACTGAAATGGCACCAAATGCCCGGAAATGCTTGCAATTGGCTTCAATTTTTGACATTTTCCCCGGGGGAGGACCCCCATGGCCGCCCCACCTCCAAAGTCGGTGCGACGCGTCTGCAATGTCGTGACTAAGTGCACACACACATACATGCGCACACACACGCACACGCACACACACGCGCGCGCACGCACATACACCCCCCCCCCCCACACACACACACGGCTTGATTGTAGTTCCGAGTTGTGTGCCTAATTATATCGCCGAGTGCACACGTTGCGCATGGTCGGCAAGCCTGCATGGATATCTTGAACAGCTTAGCTTCGGAACACATCACATTGCACACGTGTCGAGCCTGCCTTGGCAGACATCTCTGTTGTACATGCGGCTGCGCTTGTGCCTCTTTGTTGTACATGCTGCTGCGTTTGTACAACGTGTACTCCGTCGTATATGGTGCTGCATTTTGTCACTCCGTTGTACACACTGCTGCACCGTCTTTTGCTCCTTTGTACATGCTGCTGCACCGTCTTCTGTCTGTATACGCACTTTCCCTACTTGTCCCCGTTGCTTTTGGCCGTCTGCCGTCTTGTCCCCGTTGTATTTGGCCGTCGTCCTGGCCTCACTTCCCGTTCGGGACTGTTTTGTACCACAACTTGCACCTATTTCGCATCAACTAGGGACAACGAATTGTGATGCATCGTGAAATCAGGAAACTGCCCTTGATTAATCTTCCATTTTGTCAGTCCTCAGAGTGTACCTGTAAATCAAACATCCCCACAAGAGTGCAGTGCCGTATTTGACAACTAGCTGTGGCCAGTGTCATGGCTTGGAATGGAGCAACACGATTGGTTGTGTTGGGTAAATCACACTGAGTGTGCCATTGCTGTTTGTGTCTTGCGAATACTGCACAGCTGTCTGACTCTGGTCTGCGAACTGAACTGGCCGAGTACCAGCGCACCAGTGCCGAAGAGCGTGACACGTTCACCAGCACAATCGAGCGGCTACAGGAGCGGCTTGACGAGGAAATGGAGGGGCGACAGACCGCACAGGCAGCGCTGAAGGACAGCACGTCGGAGCGCGAGGACATTCAGCTAGCCAACGAAGCTCTCACCCAGAACATTGACCTTCTGGCAACGGAAAAGGCGGACGCTTTCAAGCAGTTGGACGTAGTGCGTGCGGAGTGTGAGAGTGTCACCACCGAGAAAGCCGAGCTGATCCAAAAGGTACAGGAGAGCAGCAATACCCTGGAGGAGATGAGTGACCAAGTGAAGAAGCTGAGTGACGAAAAAGAACAGCTGAAAGAGGCCGTCGTTGAAGCAAAGCGTAATGAGCGCGATGAGGGAGACAGGCGACTCCAGGAAGCGCTGGCATCCGCTCGGGATACCTGGGAAGAAACATTCCGTGAGCTGACTGCAAAGTACGACACTGCACAGTCGCAGCAGCAGGATGCCGAGCTGCGCGCCGGGGAAATGTCGAGCCGAGTGACTGAACTGGAACGGCGGCAGTCCGTCTTGTCGGAGGACGCGGACAATGCACTCAAGCAGCTGCAGCAGGCACAGGACGAGTACGAGACCATGGAGACGCAGCTTCAAGAGTCTCGGAGCCAACTCACTGCCGCCGAGGAGCAAGCTGAGCTACTCAAAGCGACAGCCAGCAGCCAAACGAAGGAAATTCTTGAAGAGTGGGAGCAAAAGCGAGCGGACCTTGAACAGCAGCTACGCAGCGCAGAGGAGCAGTCGCAGGCAGTGGAAGGCGAACTCAGCGACGCTCGTGCCACAGCAGACCGCTTGCAGGAAAGCTTGACCGTGGAGCAGGCGAAGCTTGAGGAGGCAGTGTCCGAGATTGCACAACACAAGACTGTTCAGGCGGAGAGCGTCGCCGCACACACATTGGCTCTGCAGCAACTCCAAGAACAGCTGGATCGGAATAGAGCCGGTGCTGATAGCCTCCAGGCAACAGTTGTGTCACTAAGAGCTGAGCTCACCAGTGCTCAAACAGCTGCTGCAGATATGCAGGCTGATCACGCAGCTCTGCAGGCGACTGTTGAGCAGCTCAGAGCCTCGAATCTGGCCAGTAGTGAGAGGCTGAATGCTGACCTGGAGGCAACTGTGACGTCACTGACAGCAGAGCTCACCAATGCTAAGGCAACTGCAGCTGATATGCAGTCCCAGCACACAGCTCTCCAGCAAACTGCTGAGCAGCTCAGAGCCTCCAATATTGCCGACATTGAGAGGCTGAACGAGAGCCTATCCGAGCAGTGCGAGGCGGTTAGAACGGCTACGAAAGAGGAGTGCGAACGCGATGCGGCAGAGCGACTGGAACGACAATCGGCAATGGTAAGTGTCCTAACTCATGCGTGGCTTAGAACAACAAAGTGATGCAGTGGAAGTTATTTCAGCTGTGTTGCATTTTGTGCTGTCATTATACAGCCATGGCTTGCTAGAAAGGAACGCACTTGTCTGAATTAGCGCGGGTCAGTTATTTGCGAAATAAAGATCAATATGAAAAGTAAAGAACAAAAAACATTTAGAACAGAGGGCATAATATTATGGCGGCATGGTGATTCCTTTCAGTGACTTTGAGTGGCACCCCCACGCTTCGAGGGACTAGAAGAGAATGTCTACTGGTAGCATGGTACCCTCCAAAGCGAGCTTGTTGCAATTTGCTCTAGGGGTGAGCTTTATAAGGCTTGTACCGCACATGAAACCATGATGAAGAATTCACTCAGCTGCAAACAGTCACACTGAACTGGCAATGTTCCACCATGCTGTGTTGCCTCCGTGATGTGCTAGCACTCGGCCGAACTGCTGGCAGCTACCAAGGCACGGGCCGACGAGGTAGAGCAGCTGAAGGACGAGATGGCTACCTTGCAGGCTCAGCTTGTTGCACAGTCTGCAAAGCTCAAGCTGCAGGCCAAACAGAAGGACAGCGAGGCGCTCATTGTCGATCTTCACTCTCAGGTCAAGGATCTGGAAACACAGGTAAATCCATTGCTTGCCCCGGTGTACTTGTCATCGCTCCATATTGTGCAGTGAGTTGGTGAATGCATGCCACGTCTGTTCAGTAGTCAAAGGTCCGTATGGGTGCTGAGTTAACAGAGGACCCTGTTACTTTGTCGAAGTTGTGATGTGTGACGATGTCTGACTTACCCAAACCCGGACAATGTAGAGCACACGTAGAAGGTGGAAATGCAATACAGACGCCGAGTTCCTGCTGCATATACCCACCACAAACCTATATACTTGAAGTAATGATGCTGCCGCATGACAGGACGCACATACGTGCAGGAGTAGCTCTTCAAATTGGGTGCCTATCTTACATATTTATTCATGAATGGGGTCTGTGAGACACACAGATCAAGTTACATCGAGCCAATCGTGCCTTCGTGGAGGTCATGGCATGCCCACAATATAGCCGCTGAAACTGATCTCTTTGCCTCTTCTTCTATCATCACAACACCACTTGAAGGTGACAAGCGAGAAGAAGCAGAGGACAAAGATTCATGAGGAGTTGCGCGGCGCGATCTCGGACAACACACGTCTCACCCTGGAGATGACACAGCTGCAGAGCGAGCTCCAAGAGCAGGCTGAAAGACAAGTGCACCAGCAGCAGCGGAAAGCAGAGGTAAAACCCCATAGGACTGAATGAGAGACTATAGCCTTCTTGCGGTGTTGAGTATGTTTTAATCGGCAAATAATCATTTGACTGCAAGAAATCTCGACTACTGTAGGTCTGTAACATGGAAATTGCGGGCACAGGTTATGTGATCGAGTCCACCGACTAAACCAGATTTTGAACAGTCAGACGTGCACAATCTAGCACAAAACTGCCGACTTTCATGCCGTGGAATGTCTCAGTACTCCTTGTCAGTTTTGTGCTACAAGTAGATTGTGCACGTCTGACTGTTCAAAATCTGGTTTAGTTGGTGGACTCGATCGTATAACTCGTGCCCACAATTTCCATGTTACAATTTTGTTCCTTGGCTCACCATCGGAGTTCTTAGCATAAATACTGTAGGCCTGCCTGCTAATACTCTAATTTCAGAAATTGTTAGGTACAAAAGCCCAAGGTGATCAAAGCCAACACCAATGTTCAGAACTTTAGACAATGGTGTTATTTTAAAATATTTCTGGCTGGGTGCTCTTGGGCTCCCTGTTCTTCGGTGTGTGACTCTACTGTTGTTGACATGCATGGATAAGGCACAGAACAATTCTAATTTTGTCCCAATTTCACTGGGAATAATAGTGAGGTTTTGCATTCCGAAATTCGGCAAAAAGATTCGGCACGCGGGAGCGAGGTCGAAAATGCACACGAAGATTCGGAGTGTTTGTTCGGAAAAAGCTCACTTTGCCGAAAATATTTTTCGGATGCATTTTCTTGTAGAAGAGGGCTATTATAGCGCTAGCGCGTGATTTATTCAAAGAGGTTTCTTATCTCGGCATCGCTTGGCAGGCGTCTTTGGCGACATAACATCGTCAGCTACCTCTGATTGCTCCTCTCCACTGCCTGTCGACTCTCTTTCGCCTGGAGTGTTCTCACCGTCATCTGTGTGGCTGAAAAGACTATGGCGACACGCATAACATTTGACTTGGCCATGGAGTTGGTTTTTCTGAGGCGACTGAGGAGGCAGGTTGGGCCCTCGACTCTTTGGGCGATCAAAGTTCGTTGGAATAAGCAAGAAAAGGAGCACGGGACAGGACGTTGCTGATGCTGGGGCTCACGAAATGAAAACACATCATTTTCGACTTGCAAAACAAACGTTGGTGCGAAAATTCGACATTTTGATGTTCGACAAATGACCGAAGAATGCCGAACCGAAATTCGGAATGCAAAACCTCACTAATGACACCTACGAAAAGCTCCTGAAGGCTGATTCAGTGCTCACGATCACTGATACTGCCTTGACTGTCGGTCTGCCTTTGTCTTCTCACTACCCCATCCCGTCCACAGGTGGATCAGCTCGAGCGGCGCAACCGCACTCTCAGCGAGAACGCCGACAGGCAGCAGCATGAGATTGCTCACCTGCGCGAGGAGCTGCGTGGCGCGGAGCACCTGCGGCAGTTGAACAATAGCAACGAGGAGAGATGGCTGGCTGAGAAGAACGTGCTGCTCAACATCATTCAGCAGCTGGTGGACACGATCACAGTGGAACCTGCTTCCTCTACTACAACCAGCAGCATGCTGCGCTCACCAAGACACACCGCTATGGCTACAACCAGCGCCAGGAAAACACCACCGCCGGTTGCCAGCAGAACAGTGAAGCCCCGGCAAACCACGCAGACGACCCCTACAGGCGGCATGTGGTCCAGGCCAAGGCCAAACTATTACAACGCCTGAAAGATTGATTGTGAAAGATTCAGGCGAAGCGAACAGATAGACAGCGGACTTGCGGGGCATACGCTACCCCGTTCTCACGTGGAGCGAGTGATGCAACACCTTTTTTGAGTGTCCTGCTTCATAATAGTTTCCCTAACAAAACTGTATGTATAAACCACACACAATGCAAGGCAGTGTAAGCATTGTTTGTGCACAAATGCTGATTGAGAAAAGTGCTAGATTGAAAATAATACCCATAATCACGACGTACATTGAGTACATACTGCATAGCAAATGATATTTTTATGAGCATATGCTGCCGTGAGAATTTTACATGAAATTATATACGACATGTATTTCGTTTAGTATGTCAAGATGGTACCGGGTACGCATACAGGTGAGTAACAAGAAGTCACAACAGGTAGACGGAGGTGGTGGACTGTGCTGCTGTTGAAGAAAAATCAAACAATCGGTTGCATGTACGAGATGCTTTCACCGTTTGTCGTCACACGGTCAGTCATGTCAATTTCGGAGAAACGACGCGACAGCCTTCACAGCAAACACGGTCATTCACTGCCCAAGCTTACATGAAGCAAGGGCATTTACCTGCATAAAACGGAAGAAAACAAGACAAAGACAAATTGGCGAAGTACACACGCAAAATGCTCAGTTCGTATGTAAGACGGCCGCTAACCCCCGGTAAACCCTAGTGGCAGACACAGCGCCTAACGGCAGGGGTGAGTGGATAAATCTCACAACCACTGGCACAAGTGCCGCAACCCTGCTTGGTTGTCGATATATAGCTTGTCGCGCTTCAAGACAGTTATTTTGAAAATGGAAAAATGGGTTACGGGTAACCGTTTCCCCTGCAAGGTTGACTGCCTGTACATGTATGTGCACATTCCACAGACAAGTTGTGCCACCTGGAAGCAAGAGTACATAACCCCCCAGAGTGTGCAATGCCTGATCCAGCTCTGCATAGGGTCTTGGTCGAGGGTAATCGGATCTTTGCGTCATAATACCGTACACATCTGAGGGGAATCCGGGGAGTCGCCGCGGGTACTCTCGGATCAAAAACAACGGTGCCCTGCCTCGAGACTGGACTTGCGCTGGTGTGGAGTGTGTACGCATGACATCAGAAGATCCGATAACGCTTGACCAAGACGCTATGCAGAGCTGGATCAGGCGTTGCACACTCTGGGGGGTTATGTACTCTTGCTTCCAGGTGGCACATGCACATGCTGTATGCGGCAACAGGGGATGGCCAGCCCCACAGAACCAGACAAATACAGAAACTTTCGAAAGACACTATTGGTAATATCAAAAGCACTTAGGTTACGTTTGGTTGGTCACATTCCTATATGGGAATCACTCGGAATCATTCTCGCCCGTTTGGTTGGTCAAAAAAGTGCGTTAAGTTGGTCCCATTCCAGAATGGGAATCGCTGAGAATGATTCTTTTTGGAGAATGATCATTCCACCTCACATGCTGGAATGAGCATTCTCATTCCGGAATCAAAAGCGATAATGGTTGCCACGAGCCAAACAATGTAGCATCTGGTTCAAGTGCCTCGAATCAGAAGTACCTTGACTCTCTCAAGGAAACTAAAGTCGGGTAAAAGAGAAGAGAGCCGCCGTTCCACAACGACATCATGGAGTTGGTATGTCAAGTGATTCCTAGTTGATTCTGGCACGTTTGTTTGGTCAGGTGATTCTTACCCATTTCCATTCCAGAATGGTTGTCATTTACATTCTGAAAATGCCCAACCAAACGCAACCTTAGAGGCAAAGCAACTCACCGTCCTCATCCACCGCCTGCCATTGGTGGCGCTGATGGGCCGCCTTGCTTCCGATTGTGGAAGCCACCAAACCTGCGCGGAGGAGCAGGTGGCCTGGCATGATATAAGAGAGGATGCAGACGAATGGAGAGAGAGAGAGAGAGAGAGAGAGAGAGAGAGAGAGTGAGTGAGTGAGAGAGAGAGACAGAGAGAGAGAGACAGAGAGAGACAGACAGACAGAGAGAGAGACAGACAGAGAGAGGCGGCAGAACTTCACATCATGCTACAAACTCGTAAAGTAATGCTGCGTATTAAAGCCGGGCTTAGTCCTGTAGAAGCCGATGGAAGGGCTAGGCTTCTATTCACATCAGGCTTCTATTCAAACCAGGTATTTCTATGTGTGTCAACACTAAAACCAGGCTTATGTGCTGACAGTATATCTTGAAAATCAGGCTTCTATTCAAAACAGGCTTCTATTCGTGATAGGCTTTAATACAAGACACTACGGTACATTATTTGCACCCTGTGCCTGACAGATACACGGTTGTATGCAATATCGCTTTGGGTTATTCATTATTTATTCCCGTAGCGATGCAGAAGACGTTACTTCAGTCGTCTGGCGCTAGCCAGGGTCCACACAGCTTTAATTCCCGTAGCTATGCAGAAGACGTTACTTCAGTAACGTCTGGCGCTAGCCAGGGTCCACACAGCTTTAATTTGGTGTGTGTTTGTTTGTTTGTGTCACGCCTGGCGCTATCCCGTATCTGTCCCGTACCGTACCGTACCAGCAAAGACAGCTGGCCACAATATTTTTTGTTTGTTTATACTATCGGCATGCCTGGCGCTATCCCGTCCATGTACCGTACCATCAAGAGTACGGTACCATCAAGAGAATGAGTATATAATGCGAAGTGTATCGGGGGAATGCATTAAGGCCAATAGTGCAGTAACATTTTGTGTGGATTTGTGTGCGAGGCCGAGATCCCACTAGCAGGCTGGCTGGGCCGCCTGTCGACCAGCTCGGGAACCGCATGTAGGCCGATAGCATAATAATTATAACGTATACAGATGTATAGCAGGGAGTCGTATTATGTAAACGACTCCCTGCTGTATAGGGAGATTTTCTGGAAAGAAATACGAAGTAGGGAGACGAGGAAATGCAATTAGAATGGATGTTAGTTGCCGAATAGGTGATAGGATGGGTCAGCAAAAATATACTTTGGAAGAGAGATCCCGTCGTCTCCAAAATAATCCTGAACGGGCGAGTCAGCGCCGGTCACAGGAAACGGCAGGACAGACATCCCGTCAACTCCAGAACGCCCGTGATCGGCAGAAACGAGACAGCACAGGATAGCGCTAGGCATGCCGATGGCACAAACAAACTAAAATATTGTGGCCAGCTGTTTGTGGCCAGCTGAGCTGTCTTTGATGGTACGGTACGGGACAAATACGGGAAAGCGCCAGGCGTGACACAAAAAATACAAAATAAAAAATAAACACCAAATATTAATCCCATAGCTATGCAACAGACGTTACTTCAGTATCGTTTGGCGCTAGCCAGGGTCCACACAGCTTTGACACGTTACATGCATGATGAGCAAGCAAAAAAGCATAGCGTAGGGCCCTGAGCTTCCAAGCTCTCTCGTTTGGTATTTGTGTGTTTGTGTCACGCCTGGCGCTATGCCGTATCTGTCCCGTACCGTACCGTACCATCAAACACAGCTGGCCACATACAGCTGGCCGCAATATTCAAATAGGGCTTTCAAACGCAAGATCGTAACGTGAAGCAACTTTGAAGAATGAGTATGAATGCGAAGTGTATGGGGGAATGCATGTAGGGCGATAGTGCGGGTTCGAATCCCAGGTTATCCCTTAAAAAAATAGGAGAATTGAAAAATTTATAACATCCTTATGCTTTTTTTGCCTAGGTCATCAAGGCGGTAGATGGTGTCGTATTATCCTCGACCGTACCTGTCCCGTACCATCAAAGACGGCTGGCCACAATGCATATTCGAATAGGGCTTTCAAATGCAAGATCATTACATGAAGCAACTTGGAAGAATTATTTTGTATGCGAAGTGTATCGGGGGATGCATGCAGGGTGATAGCGCGGGTTCGAATCCCAGGTTATGTCTTAAAAAAAAAGGAGAAATTTATAAGAATATATAACATTTCTATGCCTTTTTTGTCTAGGTCATCAAGGCAAAAAAGCATAGCGTAGGGCCCTGAGCTTCCAAGCTCTCTCGTTTATTTTTATTCTTATTTTACTAGGGAATTCCCAACAGGCGTCATCGCCTTCTCACAGGGAACCCTAAGAACGTCTTGATGGATGATCGAAATTCAGCAGGGTTTAATTCTCTTGTGTTGCGGTCACTTTGCACTGCTTCTCAGCGTAACCTATTGAACCATGTCAAAATGATGATGTGAAGTTCTACCGTCGCAGCACTGCGTGGAGGTTGCACAGGCAGCTGTACACTCTTGAGGTTATGTATACTGTCGGTCACCGCAGAACTGGGGTCAGCCTCGTAGCCTAAAACGTTCCTATTTTTATGTACTACAGTCTATGCATGGTCTATGCACAGCCTATGCACGGTCTATGCACAGCCTATGCACGGTCTATGCACAGCCTATGCACGGTCTATGCACAGCCTATGCACAGTCTATGCACAGCGTATGCACAGCGTATGCACAGTCTATGCGCAGTCTATGCACAGTCTATGCACAGTTGAGTCACGGTGTACAGGGGTGAAGCATAGCCCTTTCAGCCTGCTTCGGAAGGTCATGCGACGCGACATAGTGTACAAAATTCACCCTATTTCTATTTTTGCAGCCAAGGATACTGGCTCAGCCAGCTCCTTTTATTCGGAATTGTTGCGGTAAACTGCACAAGCGAGAATTCAATGTATCTGATTCAGCAGTCTATACATCATTCTCCTTTGGCCTTGAACTACATGTACTATCGGCTGCTTCTTACAAACGTTTTGCTGGAGGCTCCGATATCTAGACTTGCAAACAAACATGCTTCCTTTCCTCCAATGGCAGGGAGCAGCAAGTTGGAACAAACACCGCACAGTGTAGTCACTTCACACCAGGGAGTGGTAAAACACCAGTATTTACTACTCCCTGCTTCACACTGCGCTGCGCCACATGCACATCTGCATACAATGCACTCTTGTGCTCACGACGGGACTCTAACGCAGCTCCCACCCCCGCTACCGCCCACACTGCTTTTTACGGAATGCAAAGGTACCAACAGCTACTGCAAGTACAATTATGTTCAAGACTTATATAAGTGTATACCATGTACAATCCTGTATGAAGGACATACCCAGTACATGCCGTGTGTACACGTCCAGCCCACGCATCGACACTTGCACTGAATAAACGTTGAACGCGGCACTTTGCGATTCATTTTGGTTTTTTTGTTGGCGTTTCGCGGATATGGTACGGCAACTTCCAGCTGCTTTGTTTGCGAATTTTGCGATACGGTGCTACGCGCCTGGTGTATACATTGGTATGCTGTGCTTGGTGAAATTCTAGCCTGTTCGTTCTTCGACGCTCAACAGTACCTGTATTAGGGTGTTCAGTCACGTGATTTTTGACAGTGATTCATCCACACCGCGACTCCACGTATTTTCGTATTGCGTGATGGCACACGTCAAGCCACGCGTGATTGCTCAGCGCATGCACCTTCCTGCGTAAAATGGCAGTGCTCAGTTCAACGCGTTCGCGTGCAGCTGTTCGACAGCTTCTTCACAGTCCAAGTCCTGTTTCCGTAGCCCATTTCGTTTCAGAGTGGTGGTGTGGTTCAGTTTTACGTTGCATGATATTCTCCTGTTTGAAGCAGTTAGCTGTGGTGTACGCCTTGTAAACTGTGGCCATCGTCTTCTACGTCGTCGACTTCATGAAGGTACGTTCACTTGGGTAGCGTAGTGTGTAGCCGATTTGAGCAGTTTTGCAATTTCTTCTTTCGTATCTACCTGTGTACAAAAATTCAAAAATTTGAAATTTGCATTGTTCGTCTGCATAGGTGTATTGCCGTAATGGAGGATTTCCCTGGCGAGTACTGCCGAGAAGCTGGCCTTACGACGCAACTGCTGTTGGACGCTGCTACAAGTGAGTTCGATGGAGGCCGTCGTCGCTCCAAAAGGCTGAGGGGTGACAAAAATACACCCGTGTCCAATGGCTTGGTACTTGAGCTTGCAGCGTTCATGACCAGCAAGAAACTGCCGTGGTCAGCCCTCCATACCTGGCTCTCAACGGTCGAGGAAACGTTGCTGTCCTGTACTGCGAACGCCCTCACTGCCAAGGTGAGACGGCTTCAGGCAGCCAGAACCAAGCTGCTCAAAGCATCCGATCACAAGTCTCTGTCCACACTCTGCAGTGAGGAATTTGCATACCCTCAAAGCCAAACACGACCAGAGCATTATTCTGGCACTACATCTGTGCATGCGTGTAGTGGTGGTACTACTAGTAGTGAAGATGGAATGGGTGATGTTGACCGAAATACCAGTGGCAGTGAGATATGTTCTGAAGCACAGGGTGAAGGACATGCAGTGGATGCAATGCAAACTGAAGACTCAGTTACCTTGCAGTTGCAGGATAGGTTGCATGCTTCACAAAGCAAAATTCGGAATCTTGGGAAGAAATTACGCCGCCGAGATGACCAGTTGATCAAGTATGATGACCAGTTGGCCAGGCTTGGTGAAAGAGTGGAGGGGGAGGAGGAGAGCAAGGAAGATTTGGAAGAGCAGTTGGGCAGTGCATTAGAAACAGTCGAAACCCTCAGGCGTAAGCTCAACAATGTGTACTGCAGAGTTTCATACGAGAAATCTAAGAGCTCCAGCACAAGTTCTGCCGTGAGTGACGTGACAGAAGAGCTTCTTGCTTGTGGGCAAAGGGAGAAGGAACTAAAGAGAACAGTGAGTGCATTACAGGCTGAGTTAGATGTGGAACGGTCCATGCAGCAGTGCCAGCACATTACAGCGAAGGTGGATGGTGAATACACACCAGAGGTGCGTCAGTGCTGCTATGACCTCCTTGCAAAGAACGTGGGTGTGTGGAATCTTGGGTCTGTGATACGTTCAGTTTTGCGCTTAGCAAATGTGGGAATTTCGGAAGTTCCATCTGCAGCTACTGCCTCCAAGATGTTGGTAGAGTTACGGCAAATTTCACAGTTGCATGTAGCTAGTACCGCTTCTGATGCTCAGTTCACAACCAGCCACAGTGATGGCACGTCGAAGCAGGGTACCAGCTTTCAGAGCTTCCAGCTGGCAACCAATGAAAAAGCATACAGCCTGGGTATGGTTGAAATGAAAAATGGTACAGCCAAGCATGTGTTTGAAATGTTCAAGCAAGTTCTGGGTGACATTGACAGTGTAGCATCTGCTTCAGGCCAGACCGATGTAGCAAAGCACATTGTAAAGAACATGAAGAATACAATGAGTGACAGGTGCGTAGTTCAGAAGTCCTACAATGTTCTATTGGAGGAATACCGCAAGGACATCTTGCCTGATGTTGTGGATGGTTGGGAAGAACTCAGTGAAGATGAGCAGGCTACCATGGGAAGGGTCAACAATATTTATTGTGGTATGCACTATATTGTTGGCTTGGCCGATAGCTGCACAGCTGCTCTGAAATTGTGGGAGGTTGCACACTTTGGGAAAGATGTCCGAGTTGGTGCTGAACTTCTCCATGGCACGTGGCAAGGGAATGGTGGCGTTGCACGGCTCATCTATTCAGCTTCGAAGGCATTTGAAAGGCATGGCGATGAGGCTGCTGGTTGTGTGGCTGACTTTCACGCGTTTCTGTCAGAAACCAACACCAAATTGCCCCTGGAGGAGTATAGAGGAAACAGGTCATATGTGGTGTTCAGGAATGGTGCTGGTGTGTATTACCTCCATGAAAAAATGTTGCATTTTCTCACGGAGGTAACTGTGAGGGATAACCAGTTGTTACGTGCCGTGAAGGCTGATTTGGGTGTGGCAGAGTTTGTGGCTGGTGCTAGAGCGCTTGGTCTGCTGTCGAAGCTGGTCATTGGTCCGTTGTGGTGCCTGCTGGAAGACCCGAAGGTGTCAATTCTCGAGGTCAGCAAGTACTACACTGAGCTGAACAGCAATCTCCTGAAGTGGTCTACTGACGCAAGCAACCTGTTAGATGGCAGTGCTCGGCCATTCTCCGACGCCAAAGTGTCCGTCGTCTGTGATGTCTACACCGCGCTTGTCGAGCCATCGGAGGTTTCTGATGCCCTCACTCTGGAGATTCTAGCGTACCTGTGTTCTACCCTGGCAGCATTCACAACACGACTGCTGGCGGATCATCTACCGGGTGGGAAGTACCATCATGCGCCAACACTTGCCACTGAAACTGCTTCGGTACAGAAGACTAATGCCATTAGCGAGCGAGATTTCGCCCAGCTGGATCGCCTGAAACGTGAGAAACCGAATGCGGCAACGGTGGCATTGGAGGGTATGATCATGTTTGCCAACAATGAAACAACCGATTGGCTCCGATCTCTGCCACCATCTGAACATGCCCGGCTAGTGGAAGTTGCTCGGTCAACTGCCCCAGCTGCTCGCCAGCAGTTTAAGGACAGAAGGCTAGCCATCCAGCAACATCGTCTGGCGGAGCTGAAGCGCAAACAGAAGGAGAAGGAGGCTAAGCGCCAGGCTGACATTGCTCGCCAGGAACAATTGACGAAGGCCATTGAGCCATACACGCTGTGGACAGGCACGACCAACATCGAGGAGGAACTGGCCAAGTTGACATCAGTCACTCGCCAGAGGGATGCCTTGCGGGCCCAGCTCCAGTTCCGGAAGTTTGTTATTGGGCAGAATTCGGCGAAAGAGCTGTTCTACCTGAGTAGTGGTGGCCGTGTCCTGCCGATTCCAACACTCGTCAGTAACCTGAAGAAGCTGATAGGTGAAAGCACCACACCTGGAGGCAGTGCCACTGAAGCGAGCTCGTCCACTGCCAACCAGTGACCTGCTGTTGAAGGAACCTGCCTACTCCGTCTGTTTATACATTTGTACAGTCAATAACAATTATTTATTCTTCTGTGTGTGTGTGTGTGTGTGTGTGTGTGTGTGTGTGTGTGTGTGTGTGTGTGTGTGTGTGTGTGTGTGTGTGTGTGTGCCTGCAGTTGGATCCCGGGACGGATACCCTGATGCCGTCAATCCTTTTTCTGCACCTTGTCCTCACCCACTTACTGAGGTGTGGTGAGCCCATAAGTGGGATCATTTCAAGTCCACCCTAGTTTGGGGATTTCAGGGGGTGTCCTCCGTTGGGTGGTTCAATGGCCAATTGAGTCATCTTTCCAAGATTCCTTTTGAGTCTCTCTCCCCTCTCCCGGGGAGACCCACGTGACCAGTTTTGGCAGTGAGCAAGTACAAGTACAAGTGTGTGTGTGTGTGTGTGTGTGTGTGTGTGTGTGTGTGTGTGTGTGTGTGTGTGTGTGTGTGTGTGTGTGTTGATTATGACGATGATCTTGGTGCGCCTACACAATGCTCATGTTGTGCGACTCCGCCTTTTAGTCATGCGTGCGGTGATTGTGAATATGATTGGTCTATTTAATATTGCTTTAGTTTTCTTTGCTTCCGCTGAGTGCCCTGTTCCCAGCAAGCCCAGGTCTTCACTTTGACACCCTACTTGTTCCACTGTGCTTTTTGCTGGTGTTGAATTGGACCATGTTGCTTTGCGTTTTCCTGTCAATGTTGATGGCCGGCGCATACTCGCTCTCTCTCTCTCTTGTAGAATTTTTGGTTGCACTGCCATGCATTGGTGAACTGAAGTGCTTTGTAGCCTGCAGCATGTGTTGGTACTGTTGTCCCGTTGCTGTATTACTATTTGTCGATCTGTGGTCTTTAGTACTCCAAGTATGTTGCTTTCTAGTGGACTTCTTGCATTAATCGCTTGGTTGCTATGGTGGTTGCTAAGGCCCATATTTAAAATTTGGCCGTTAAATTTGAATTTTGACGGTAACCCTAGGTTTTGTGGAGGGGGGCAATCAAGCAACTAGAAAATCTAAGCAATCTGAGCTTTTTTTTCCGTTGCCATGCTGGTTGCTATGGACGGCCGAAAACAGTGCATGTGCCATATCCTCAATGTAAAGACTATGCACGTATAGTGTGAATAGCACGGAACTTCAAAAGACCATAACTTTGGTATCCCTTGGAATTTTGACCTGAAATTTTCTCTGCAGTCTTGTAATATGTTGGTCTTTCAGATAAAACAGACCTTTGTACTTAAATCTCTTCCAAGTAAAACCACCTAAACTCCCTACGTACAGTAGGGTAGTGACACAGGACATGAGAACAAACAAGAGAGTGTAGCAGTTGCTGAACGCCACCCTATCTGCAAAAATATAGCCACTCACCCATCTCCCGGCCGTCGATAGTCAGTGCTGCTGTAGGATCTGCCATTGCTCGAAGCACTCTTTGACGCCTTGGTCAGGCTTGGGTTGACCAGAGTCTGGAAGCTGTCAAGAAAAACACAGCAGCAAGGGTAATCAGAACACAAAAGCAATGGAAGCATCAGCATCAGCATCAGCAGCAGTGGCAGCAGCAGTGGCAGCAGCATCAGTGGCAGCAGCAGAAGCATCAGCAGCAGCATCAGTGGCAGCAGCAGAAGCATCAGCAGCAGCAGCATCATCATCAGCAGCAGCAGCAGCAGCACCCCAGCAGCAGCAGCAGCCGCAGTGGCAGCAAAGGTAGTGGTAAACAAAAGGGGCAGTAAAACAATAAGCAGACTCATTAGAAACGGGGGATCTTTTAACTTAAGGAATAGATCACAACATGGAAGAGTGAAACATACTGGAACAATGAACGAATAGCAGACAAGCAGGCAAAAAAAAAAACAATGGTATATATTCAAACCTAGGTGTGTGCAAATTTACGAGTACAGTACTCCCTGCGGTAACTTTTGAGACCTGATAAGGACGAAGCAGTTCTGTCCTCTGACTGAGTCGACCTGATCAGGTATATTTAGTAGCACTGTCAAACATGGTACTTTTGAAACACTTACAAGAGAACCACGACGTTCACAATGGCCCAGAACGTGTCGGTTATGGCGGACAGGCCGAGCCATGATGAGCCTGTGGGCGTTGAGCCCCCAGTAAGCGTGTAGCCTGAAAGCACGCAGACGCGCCGGAAAGAGCAATGAGCCCAATGTGGAGTTGACAAAGGCAAAAGAACTTAGACAATTTCACTCTCAGCTCTCGGAATTCGCATTAGTTCAGGTACCAACCTTGCGGCATGTCTGCTTCCAGCACCAGGCCTCGTGCTTTTTCCCAAGACACAACACACTCGCTGCACTGTTTTGTAAACAGACTAGTACAAAACCTACACAAAGGGAAGAAGAAGCCAATTGGCCAAGATGCTCACTCTATTTCGCACAAAGGCTTGACATGACACAAAGCTGAGGTGTTTTTCCCCTGTTCGATTTTCTGGAGTTTTCTTGCAGTATGATCTACGTCACTACAACTCTCAGCATTACGTACGTCGTCATGATGCATCGATATGATAATTATGACGTCACGCACAAAACTCAGTGCAGTGGGGCGCGCTCGCCGCTCGGCGCTCGCTCGCCGCCGGCGCTCGGCCGCTCGCCGCTCACGCCGCTCACTCAGAGTCACTGTAGCTGTAGCCCGACTCGTACTGCCAGTGCCAGTAGTGGCCAGCAGGGAGTCGTAAAATACCGGTATTTTACGACTCCCTGGTGGCCAGTGAGTCACTGCCTCACCGGCCACTTGCACAGTAGACCCAGGTGCTCGAAGTCCGTACACTTTTACAGTGTGTGTTTGCCGAGCTGAAACTCACACTAGCAATGATCACTTGCCAGAATCCTGCTCGTGGATGGAAGGTATCTTGTCCAAGTTTGTTCTGAGGCCAGTCTCGATTGAACCAGGCCATCTTTCGATCCGATCTGTTTCTCTGGAGTTCGCTGATTTTTCATATCAAATTTTGGTGTCGCAGAGGGTACTCTAAGTCCGTACTGATCAGAGGTGACTCGAAATACGCACATATTCCGCTAATTGCTAACTAGCAATCCATCGGTTACGACGAAAGCACCGAAGGGATATGTTTGGCATGTGCCTCCACCAGTATTTCTTGCAAAAGCGTAGTTTGTTGCCGAAATGCAAGCTGTTTTAGTCGGCTCAGAGAAGAAGCAGCTGCGCTGTGAAAACCGCGGGAAAACAGTGGTGGAGATGCCAGGAGTGTCCACCTTTCTGCAAGGATTGGTGGTTCTCTGTAAATTCTTCTCCTCTGGCCATTGTCAGCTCTAAGCTGGCTCTTGATGATTGAGTGAAGGTCCGTTTGACGCTGTGTCCGTTCGAAATCGGTCTTGGCAAAGTTGATTTTTGCATGAAATGTAACCCAATTTGTATTTCGTATGGACACTCGAAAACCCACTCGCGTGGTATGGGACTTCTGCTTATCGTAGATCCCTGAAAATTGGTACGCGAGGAGAACATACCACACTGTCCCCTCCATAAAATATTTGAGTCGAATACAATAACAGAACATGAAATTATGGGCGTACGAACTTAGGATACCATGTACGGACTTCGAGCACCTGGGTCTACTGGCGCTCAGCCGCTCACTGTACTAATAAGTAATAGTAATAAGTAACACTAATACATTGTACTAGTAATCGAGGTTAGCCCTCGGGCCTACGGCCCTCGGGCTAACCTCTCGGGGCAATAATATGCCATAAGGCCCTTGCAACCATGCGATAACATATACATACGACACTCGTTAGTACAGTAAGATCGGGCGCCGAAGAACACCTCGCCGAAGAACACCCAGGCTGGAAAACCGGCAAAATTTAAGAACAGTCCAGGCTAGAATTATCAGATTTAAGAACACTTTTAAAATTGTATACATTGTACATGTATGGGAGGTGAGTACATGTCATGTACACGTGTAAACAGTAACTTTTTTTTTATATTGTATTGTATTGTATTTATTTAAAAGGATTCTCCAAAAGCAAATGGATGCTTATCACGGAAGTCTCCCACATAAATATCGCAAGAAAAATGGGGAAATGGGGGAGAGGAGAGTGGAAGATGAAGCATGGGAAGAAGGGAAACAAGTACCTAAATATCGAGGTATAAAAGCAGGAAAGAAATCGACGAGGGAAGAAATCACCTCAGCAGATAATAGCGGGACATTTAGATGAAAAAAACCCAGCAAGGATTAATTTCAAGGAAAAAAAATTTCTCAAACGGAAAAGTTCGGAATTCCAGTCAGAGAATATCTATGCTGTGAGTAATGAGCCTTTAGAGCAATGCGAAAATTGACAGAGGACTGAACGCAGCGGATGTGTTCTGGAAGTTTGTTCCATTCCACAGATAAACTGAAGAGAGGGGATTTAAGGAAATGGGCGCCAGAACGAGGTAAAACTATAGAGGACGGGTGACGACAACTAAGGGATACATTGAATTTGAAACGAATTAGCAAAGACGGAAACTGGTAAAAGACATGATGAAAATACAGCAAGGACAGAATCTGACGACGCCACTTCAGGGATGACCAGTCACAAGTACGATTAAGAATCTGCTTCGGGGTTTCCCACTCAGGAGGGTGCCGGGTCTTACAAAGCAGATATGAACGAGCAGCAACGGCTTGCAGTCGGTCTAACGTAAGCGAATCTGAATGGGATACGGCGAATGACCAGACAGGGACTGCGTATTCTAACAGTGGTCGTACGTAACACTTGTAGAGCAAATTCACGGTTGAAGCAGAAAGGAAATGGGCCATATGGCGCAACAGAAAAACACGACTGCGAAACTTATGGGTGATAGATTTTATATGGTCAGAAAAATTTAGTGAAGGAGTGATAGTCACGCCGAGATGACAGTGGCTATCACCTTTCTGAATAGGCACACCGTTCATTGTCAAGGGGGATGACGGGCCGGGGGCTAATGCATATTTTTGAAAGGGTAGGTGGACGCATTTACTGGTGTTAAACGTCATGGCAGTAGCTGATGACCATTGACAACACTTATCAATGTCAGTCTGGAGCAATGCATGATGGATAGGAAGTGAGGTGTTTGCTGGAGAAACAAGAATTAAATTAGAGTCATCAGCAAAAAGGGATAGGGTACTAGAAGCAGGGGCATCAGGAAAGGAGTTGATGCACAGGTTAAAAAGAAGCGGGCCGAGATGGGAACCTTGGGGTACGCCAGCGGTGATGGGCAAAGGGTCAGAAAGAGTTTGGCCAATGCGAACGCAAATACTACGATCACTGATGAAGTCCTTCACCCAAGAACAGGCAGAAAGAGAACACCAACCTGAAACAGATTGAATAACTAAATGATGACTAACTCTGTCAAAGGCCTTAGAAAAATCAAGGAACAGCTGGTCACAAGAAGACTTAGAGTCAAATGCACGCGAAACAATTGAGGTAAGCTGTACCAATTGGTCAACTGTTGACCTCTTTCGACAAAAGCCAAACTGGCTGGAACTGATAATTTTATGGCTCTCAACAAACGAGTAAAACTGACGCTAATCATAGACTCATACAATTTGGCAACTGCATTTAACAGCGATATAGGACGGTAATTGACTGGGTGAGAAGGATTACCTTTTCCCTTGAACACAGGTACAACAACGGCAGATTTCCACTCCCTGGGCTGAGTACTGGACAGCAAGCAGCGGTTGAAAAGGGCGGAAAGAGACTGTGACGTGACCTCAGCTGTTTCACGGAGGATGCGATTGTTCAGCAGTCCAGCGGTTTTACGTTGAATGGGAAGTCTGGATAGCGTGTCAAATACGGACTGCACAGAGAATGGTTGTATGGAGAACTTCACAGTGGACGTGGGTGTTAAAATACCAGCTGAGTGCAGGTCAGGTGTTAGCAGTGGCGCCTGGCTGTAGCTCGCAAACACTTTGGCTAGGAGATTCGTCTTTTCCGTATTATTCGTGGCTGGGTATGCTTGGTTGTCATGGTAGAGGTCAGGGATAACCGGAGACGGGCGATTCACATTACAAAGGATCTTTGCTTTGCGCCACCATGTACGGGTTCCATGATGCTGAGCCATGTCTCTCGCCATCCTCTCGTGATAATGGCGTTTCGCCTTCCGGAGCAAGGAAGTAAGACAGTTACGTGAGAGTCTATACGCTATCCAACTATCTGTAGATCCGAGACGTTTGGCCTTGGCGAAGAGACGATCCCGAAGCCGCCTCTGACGATGGTGAACAGCAGAGTACCAAGGCTTGTTCGATGGAAATGTGCTTCTCCGGACAACGGGAACAAACAACGATACAGAGTCTTCCAGCGCTGTGCGCCACAATGACCAGGCCTCATCAACTGTTTGCGCATTTTGGACGGCATCTAGCAAGGGTAGTTGCCACACGTGGTTGTTAAATGCTTGCCAGTTCGTGTGGGCAAAGTCGAGCCAGGTGTTTTGTTCAGAAGATATTTGGGCTGTGGAGCCTGCTGATCGGTTGTGAACGACATCGAAAACTACAGGACAGTGATCAGATACCGGTGGGAGGATGGTGAGATGGGAGACTGCTATTGGAGCATTAGTGATAACTAGGTCGAGTAGTGATGAACTCTTACCACTTGCGGAGTAGCGGGTAGGCTGTTGATCCACAAGTTGCGATAAGCCCAGATCATCCAGGGTGTCATACATGCATGTACCAGCAGGTGTATCAGGATCGGATGCAAGCCATTTCGAGAGGCGAGCGTTAAAGTCGCCAATGACAAATATGGAAGCTTGAGGACAAGATATTGATTGAATGCAGGTCCGGAGTGCGCTGCAGAACTGATCAGGTGGCTGCCAAGGAGGACGGTAACAACAGAACACAAACGTGGAGTTGGGGCGATGCTCTAGTTCTATGCACACAATTTCAATGGTTGGATCAGCAGGCTGAAGATCTGGACGATGTTTGGTAGTATGGGAAATGGAAGGGTGGAGGAGGAATGCCACTCCACCTCCACGTCGCACGGTATTGTTGTGACGGTCATGCCGGATAATTTTGTATTCAGCTGACGGTGTTAATATTGAACTTGTGATATCAGGGGTCAACCAGGTTTCAGTTATGCCCAAGATATCTAGTTGAGATGTGCAGAATAAGTTTTTAATCTCATCAGCCCGCTTCAGCCAGCTGCATGCGTTAACTGTGCAGATCCTGATACTCGACGGAGACTTCATATCAGGAATACAAGGTGAAAAGTTGAAAGTCAAAGGGGACGGTTGGAATGGTGGAGCAAGAGGGTTCAGTGCGGTCACTTGCGATTGTCGGCCAGGAGAGAACGGGGCTGCATTTGGGTTAAGAGTAAAAGCGTGTGGTGATGTGGGAAAAAAGATGGGTGCGTGTGGATTCAACATCACAGTTTATGATTTCTTGGGGAGGGGTGGGTTCTTGAACTTCCATTCCCGTGCTGTTACATGCTCGGGCCAGAA